CAAAGCTGCCTTTAGTGTGCCCCCCAAAGGGCACCAGATGGTTCTTCTGTTGATGCGTTTTGTGTTTTTATGCTACTAGGGAGAAAAGGAAGTGCCTGGGGAAATCCTTCTTTTTGACAGGTAGCATGACCGGCTTGGAGCACTTGCCCGAGGGGGGGGGCACACAGGGATGGGGGGCACATTTGGTGCCGTGGCTCAGCCCGGAAAACAAGCCTGGTGCTAGCCCAAGGAAGGCTTTCTCCTGACGCTGCCCTGTGAGTCACTACATAAAGCTCGCTCTACCCTTTTCCTGTTTACCTTCTCGATGAGACGTCTCTTGTGTGCGAAGTGCCAAGCGATTACTCAGCGTGGCAGGGAGAGGTGGGGGGTGAGGGAGAGCCAGCGAGAGGTGGCACTGTGCGAGGTGGGACCGGCAGTTCCTCTCCTGGGAGCACAAAGGTCTCTCTCTCTCTCTTTTCAAAAATCTTTATTTTTACTTTTGCTGTTCTGGGTTAAGACTTTAGTCCCCGAGAACGTTTCCTAGCCCGTTCGCATCTGAAAATTTTCAAAGGCTGGCCGGGAAGCCCGATTTCCTTGCATGGGTAAGATCCTGGTGTCTGGAGGGTAGATAGAAGAGAGGATGCAAAGATTAGGAAGGCGGGCTGTGCCCCATTAACCTTTGGATCGTGACCTTCCAGGAACAGGCCGTTCTGTCGTTCCCGGCAAACAGCAGAAAAGAGGAAGTCATCGGAGTTACCTGGTGGATCATCGCAGAGGGATCATATTTTGCAAGCTTTCGAGGCGTCTCTTTCTGGGACTACGGATCCCAGAATCCCCCAGCAGGCAGGGATTAAATTCTAAAATCAAGCAGGGTTATGCAGAAAAGGTGGCTTGATTTTCTGTAAGCAAAGTTTCTCTCCCCCCCCACCCCAGTCCACCCCATGGAACAGTGCAAGGTTCAGATCCTGAGGCCAAAGCAAGAAAATCCTTGGGGCAGAGGGTGGGGGGTTTCCAGTAATTAAAATCCTACTTTTATTTCTGACATACCTGAGTTTATTTTTTATTTTGTTTGTTTTATAGCCTGTTTTTCTTCCAATAAGGGGAGCCAAGGTAGCTGAAAGAGAAGAATTAAAAACATAAGTTAAACATGGAGGTGGAAAAAAACCAATTAAATTATACTCTAATTAAAATACAATGGAATAATTAAAAGGGAGTAAACATTCAAAAGTATTTTAACTTGGAAAAGGCATTCACGGACTCCATCATAATTGTTCAAAGCCTGCCTGAAGAGGTGGGTCTTATGCTGTTAGTGGAAGGATAAAAGGGAGAGGGGGCCTGATGGAGAGCATCCCATAACCAAGGAGCAGCCACCGAGAAGGTCCTGTCCTTTGTCCCCATCAGCCCTGCCTGTGCTGGCCATGGGACTGAGAGGAAGGCTTCTTCTGAGGATGACCTTAAGCACTGAGGAAGCTCATACGGCCAGATACTATATCGTCCTGGACCCAAGCTGTATAATAGTTGAGTTGATGGAGTCTCTGCCTGCAAAGAGGTTGCAAATCCTTTCTGCACAGTCAAAGCTGGGGGTGATGGGGGGCATTGCCAATGGCGAATAGCTTAACTGAGTTGGAAAGAAATTGGGTAGCCAGGAGTTAATGCAAACCGCCAGGGAAGGAAGGAGAGCAACGTTGGGGAGGGCAGGGGGAGGACAAGCAAAAATAGCGAGGAAGATAGATGAAGCCTGCAAGATGGCTTGGGGGGGGCGTCCTTTGCTGAAAACAGCAGTTTTGAGGACAGGCTTGCAAAAGGATTGATGAGCTGCAGTCGAATGGAGCCGGATGGCGCTGAGCTTGTACAGAAGAGGAAAGAGGCAAAAGAGAAGAAAACCAGACAGAAACAGGTGGCCCCTTAAAGCCCACCTATTGCATTTTAATGTGAGATTTAGCTCCCATTAAAAATATAATCGTTAGGCTTTAAGGGGCCACCTGTTTTTGTCTGGTTTTCTTTTCTTCCTTTGGATTTTGCCTTGCACAGGTTTAAGACGGCAACCTCTTCTAGCACCACGAGGATGGAAGAGGGTCATGAAGGTGAAATTGAGAAGGGAGGTAATGATGCCCCCCCAATCTGGGTCCCGTTGCCATTTGTACTCCCACTGCTTTTGAGATATTTCCATGGTATGTTTGACCCAGAGGGGAAGACATTTGATGGGAAAGCAGGGTTTAAAGGCAGAAGGTAGTGCCTCCACTTGAAAGGGGGGGGGATGACCCTGTCTTCTGCATGATGCATAACACCCCATAGATCTTGCACAGACTTCTCCCCCACCCCCTTCCCTGTCCATCAACCCCATTTCTTACCCAGCCAGATCCTCCTCTGGGGCATCAGGAAATTCCACCTTTAAAGAAAGAAGCAGGAATGTCACACAAACTTCACGGGGGGATGGGGGGGATGGTTAGGACCCAGTGACTCACTGGATGGCTTGGAGTCCGGAAGGATTTTTCTCCCTCCTATCCAGTCAGGCCACTGTTGGCTTGTGACTCAGAACAAACCCCTGCTGGGGGGGGGAACGCTTCCTTCTGCCCCATGCATGGGGCTCCGTTGGCTTGCCTGAGATTTTAGTCTTCCTTTTTTTGGGGGAGGGGGGACTCCTTTCCGTTCTGCTTGGTCTCTGCGGATCAGGTAGATCCAGGCAGCTAGGCTGTTGTTCATTCTGACCTCTAAGCAAAGCCTCTTTTTTTTTTAGAGGTCTTTGAAGACCAGCTGACAAGGTTTGCCTGCCATTCTGCTTCCGTGCCCTGCCTGTCGCCCATCGGGTTGATCCTTGGTTGCAAGTGTTTGACAGGAATTTTTTAAAGTGCAGGCGTTCATCACAACTGTCTTGATAACTACGATGATCTCCATTGCCAGCACCCCCAAAATGGCAGTGGCCGGATTGGCCAGCATCAACCGTTGAGTCTTTTGTAAAGTCCATCATTCCTGGTTTCCCATTCTGCAAAGCGGATTGCAGAAAAGCTCGGGGGGGAACAGGAGGGGTGATTTCATAGCCCCTGGTACCCCAAAAGGCCCTGGGGCTTCTGCCCAGTGTGGAAGACAGGTTGTTGGACCTTCTGGGTCTGATCCAGAGGGCTCTTCCATGGTCCTTCCACCTGCCTTGTGCCAGGTCTGGAGAAAGAGTTGCATCCACAGGATTTTTTTTTTCTGAGCCAGTGTCTCAGAATACAGTTTCCTAATAACTGAGTAGGATCAAGTTTCCTCTTGGTCCAGGCTGTGGAGCAGCAGGACTGGAAGTAACATCTGGAGTGGCCCCTTAGGGCAGAGGGGAAAACGTTTTGGGAGAAGGCGTATAGGCGAGCGCATGGCAGAGCTTAAGGGCAAACGCAGTTTTATCTGGAGAAGGAAAGGGCAAGAGTTCCCGGTAGACCCCAGGTAACCCTTTTTCCTCTGACCCAAATATGCCTGGTGTGTCCTTGGGTTTGGCCACTGGCCCTGAGAAACTGCCACTCTTGACGGTCATTTGCTTTAAAAAAATTATTTATTTATTTATTTATTGAATTTGTACCCCTCCCATTTAGTCAACTGACTACTCTGGGTGGCTGAAAAGGAGCCCCTTTCTGCTCCTAATGTGTTTGACGTCATAGATGTAATCTCTGCTAATTAGCAATCTCCCAGGCGACTGTTCTGTGCGTGCGTGTGTGTTTTCTGTTTTTCTTTTAAAAAAAAACAACAGAGGTAGTCATGATGTCTCATGGGCCACGTCAGATGCCACAAAACGATGCAGGGCAGACCTTCTTCATGGTATGAAAAAGTAGGGAGGGCGAGGGAAGGAAAGCAAGCCTCCAGATGATATGCCAAATGTGCATGTAACCTTTTTTTGCCTGGACTTCCCTGCTTGTTCTGTCACCCCTGACATTTTGGAAGCCTGTGCCTTGGAGAAACATTTTCGCTGTTTGTTCGGCAGCAGAATCAGGGCTGGATCTGCAGGATCTCCTGAATTCCACAGGGCAATTTGGTCCCTGAGATCTGTTGGGATCAGAGTTTGGAAACGTGACTTTCAAAACAAAACAACAGTTCCTGGACTTCCACAGCTGGCAGGAGCACACACACCCCGCCTGTGCTGATGGGGAGATTCTGAGAGCGGTCATCTTAAAAAAAAAGTTAATATTTCATTGTTCTTGTTGGACTGACTGGATCGCTCGGTGGTTTAGGTCTCTCCAGAAGAGCCAGCCTGGGTGGCCTTGGGCAAACTGCACAGTCCCCCGGGCGCCCCCAGCAGAAGGAGATGGGGAAACCGGTTCTGAGCACTCTCTCCCTGGAAAACCCTGAAAACAGCTCATCATAAGTCAGAATTGACTTGATGTCACACCATGAGGTTGATTAAGTTCTGGTTGCAGTTGGTGGTCCTCCAGAGTTCCGGATGATCTTGGTCACCCACACCTGCAGTCTCAACTCCTTCTGGTTGACCCCTTTGGGGTTTCGTTCCCCCCCGCCGTCTCTCACTGCCTGTAGAGCCCCCCTCTGTTCACCCACCTCCTCCCCACCCATCCAACTCCTTCTCCCTGGAATCTGACCTTAGCCTCACCTGGCAGGTTCCCATTGTCATCCTCTGTCAACTCTTCCCGCTGGCCAACTCCTCTGTCAAACATTGAATGGCTGTTCCCCCCCCCCCGGAGGAAGGACTACAGCCCTTCCCAGTTCCTTGCAGCCCCTTGGACATCAATCTTGGCGTGGATCAAGTAAACTGTGGAAACAGGAGGCCTCTGGCGTCCATCTGTGGACCCTAAACTGGCTGCCATGAGCAAATTTACCCAACTCAATGTCTTATCCATTCTGTTAGACCACAGTATCCACCATCCCTTGTTGGAAAGAGGAGGATGGGATTTGTTGTCCAAGGCACTGGAGCCCCGACTGGTTGCTGCCTTAGAGAGCCAGACTGCATGCGCAGGCGTTGGCGTGGGCTTGAGGTTGCATGGGGGAAAGCTATTTCCTTGGACCACCATAACCTGGGCCTTTTTTCCCCCCTTCTCTAGGGCTGAGAATTACTGGTGGCGGGGTCAGAATAAACGGACTCTGAAAGTGGGACAGTTCCCTCGCAACACGGTGACTTCGGTCGCGGGGCTGTCCGCCCACGACATCAGCCAGCCGCTCAAGAACAGCTTCATCCACACGGGCCATGGAGACACGAACCCCCGCCAGTGCTGGGGGTTCCCCGACAAGATTGATGAGTAAGGAACCCCAAGGGGGTGTGTGTGCGTTTTCTCCACCCCTGGCTTTTCTCCTGCCTGTCCTTTTTCCTTCTGCAGATCTCAAGGCGGATCGGTCCAGGCCTCCTGCCCGAGCTTGGCTTGGTGAGACTGGCCTTAAAGGCAAAATCCAGAACTCTTGAACACATCACCAATCTCTGTCTCTCTCGGTCCTCAGGCCTGGCTGATCCCGGTGCTCGTTTTCTGTCTGCGATGCAGAGTTTTAGCCGTTTGATACGGCTTTAACCAAAGTGGCTTCCGTCCCCTGGAATCCTGAGTCTTGTGGTCAAGTGAGGGCTTTAGAGGGATGGGGGTTGGCTCAGGAGGGAGCAAAAACTTTTATCCCCTGCTTTTCCAAAGTACAACATTGGAACCCACTGCATCGCCCCTGGTATATCCTCCCCCGGAAGGCATGGTTTTTGCTCTGAAGCAAGACTGGGCAAGTTGTGGCCCTCCTGAGGATTTTGGACTACAACTCCCATCATGCCCTACCATTGGCTTAGCTGGCTAGGGCTGACCGTTGGTTTGTAGCCCAGCAACATCTGCCTGTCACAGGATACCCACCTCTGTTCGAAACGTGCTCCATCCCTTTTTGTCCATCTCTGTTACACAGCCTTGTTCCCCCCCCATGGTTTCCCCAAAGCTGTAAGGGGGTCAGTTGGTAGAGTTGCACACACGTGTGCATGCATGCATGTGTGTGTTGAAGCTAGGTTAGCACACCAAACCCTAATCTACAGCTGCCTCCAGTTCCCTTTATCAATACAGCAACAGGAAACAGAGAGATCCAAAGTTCCTTACTAGATGCAGTCCAAATTTTTACCCACACTGTATGTGTCCTGAGTCTTCAGGTCAGGCTGAGAACTGAATCCATTTCAGGGTGTGTGGGTTGTTTTTTTTTTTAATGTGTAGCCAAATGAAAAATCCTGGTGCTATGGTGAGCTGCTCCCCTTCAGAATATACAGATCTTTTAAAGGGAATGTGTGGCCAAATGAAAAATCCTGGTGCTGTGGCGAGCTGCTTCCCTTCAGAATATACAGATCTTTTAAAGGGGCAAACTTGGCCTCTGGATGAATCAAAAGATGCAGTTTGTAACTGCAACATAGCCAGCTTCCAAAGTCTCAAAGTATATATTCGCGAAGGCTTTCACGGCCGGGATCTAATGGTTGTTGTGGGTTTTTTGGGCTCTTTGGCCGTGTTCTGAAGGTTGTTCTTCCTGACGTTTCACCAGTCCCTGTGGCCATGGGCATCTTCAGAGGACAGAGTATAATTAAGTTTCAGGGGACTAGAGTGCTTTCGCCACATTCTGGCCCAAGATGAGGGCTCCCGGGGATTCATGCTTGCAGGCTGAGTGCCCTTCTTGAAAGCCACTTGGCGTCCTCTCGGGGGTGGGGGGAACGTGGTGACCCTTTTCCCAGTGCCTGTCGGCAAGGCATGCCTGCCCTCCCGTGTCTCGTCCTTCGTTCTGTAGTACCTCTCCCAGTTCTGACCAGAAACTGTGCGACTGGTGTTTTCTGAGGGAGGATGTGGTTCCCTCACATAATTTAGAGGCCAACTTTCTTGGTCAGAAGGCGAGTCCCTCTGTCAGTTAAAACACACACACGTATACAACCACACGGCACAGGAGTTTGTAACGAAAGAACCTTGGGATTTCTCATGTCGATGAAGTGAGCTCTTCCTCACGACTGGCTCACGACCTGAGTGGGATCCCCACAGGCTCAAGGTTGACTCAGCCGTCCATCCTTCCGAGTTCGGTCAATAGAGTCCCCAGATCGCTGAGGGGGAAGCGATGTGTGTCGCCTCCATCCTTATATCGTACAAGGCCCCGGGAGAGCTTTTAAGTGCGATGGGGAGGTATATAAACAGCACACTTTGGTATCGTACAGGGCCCCGGGAGAGCTTTTAAGTGCGATGCGGAGGTATATAAGCAGCACACTTTGCTTTCCTTTTCCTCACCAAAGAAGCTCGCTCTCCGTTCAGCATCTCGTTTCGACAGCCGGTGTCTCGCTTCCCCGCGTGGGCGGCCGCACGCACAGGCTGTGCCGGGCCAACGTGTTCCCATGCGTCCAACGAGGTGTGCCTGTCGGGCCCCGGGAGAGCTTTTAAGTGCGATGCGGAGGTATATAAGCAGCACACTTTGCTTTCCTTTTCCTCACCAAAGAAGCTCGCTCTCCGTTCAGCATCTCGTTTCGACAGCCGGTGTCTCGCTTCCCCGCGTGGGCGGCCGCACGCACAGGCTGTGCCGGGCCAACGTGTTCCCATGCGTCCAACGAGGTGTGCCTGTCCCTCCCTCATTCTGTGTCGAAGTACCACGCCTGCCTCGGTTCCCCTGTGGTGCTTTTACGCTCGTGAAACCACAACACTGGGCAACACCCTGATGTTCAGCCGGGCCTCCCGGATGTGTAACCCATGGGGCACGGGGTTAGGTTGGAAATTGTGGGCGTGAAAGAAGCATTCCTGTGGGATTGGGTGTCGCAGGCTGGATCGCACTCTTTGGTGGCCCCTGCAAGGACTTTGCTCTTTCCACGTGGCGCTCCCTGTTATCAAACCCGTAAACTGCGTTTTTGGCCGGAGCTGTGGTTCCCAACCTCGTGTCCCCAAAAGTTCTTGGACTGAAACTCCCAGAAGCCTTCCCCACTTAGCTGTCCTGACTGGGATTTCTGGGAGTTGTAGTCCAAGAACATTCGGGGGGACCCACGCTTGAGATGCACCGGTCTAGAGAGATGAATGCAGATCTTCCCCAGCGGGTAGCCCTCGCTGGACTACACTGTGGGAGTTGTAAGAACATTCGGGGGGACCCACGCTTGAGATGCACCGGTCTAGAGAGATGAATGCAGATCTTCCCCAGCGGGTAGCCCTCGCTGGACTACACTGGCCAGGGGGAGGATGGGAGTCGTAGTCTGCCCTGGAAGATCTCAGCCCAGGGAACGCCAGGCTAGTCAGGGACTGCCAGGAGAATGCCAGAGACTATATGTTACCTACATGTTTCTGTGTAGCATCTCAAGTCTCACCGGAGGAGCCGGCACTGAAAGATTCAGACAGGATCTGCAGATCCCAGAAGGGCTGGCATTTTTACACTTCTTTCCCTTTTTTCCCCCATCAGGCTGTACCTGGGAAATCCCATGGACCCTCCAGATGTCCTAGGAGTGGATTTGACGGCTGCTCGGCCCACCCAGCTCCCCGGAAGGACAGTGAACTATTTTCAACGTCTACAACAGGAAATCTAATCCGAGGGCTCACTTTACGTTGTCTTTTTCAGTATATCCACTTAGGTGTACATAGTTGTGAACTATTGCAGCAACACAGAATTGTTAGTGTAGGTGGAAAATGTCAGTGTGGGAGGAAATATTTAGCATATCATTTCCTGGATTGATTACCCTTGTTCTCCACTTGAGTTCTGACTTGATCCGTCGTGCCCTGCCCAAATGGACTCGTTGGTTTGTAAGCAGAGATAACTACAAGACCCAGCGTGCCCTGTCCCTTCCTCTGCTGGGTGTTGTAGTTTCCATGGGCTATATTCCAACGGCCTAATTGGGACCTGACCTTGCCCAGAGAGCTATCGGTTTCTCCCCTGGCACAGTGCTTTTGGTAGAAGATTTGGGAATGGCCTCGCCTAACTCCGGAAGTCTTTGTTTTCCCTCAAGCTTTTGCTGGTGAAGGGAATGGCTTCTTGGGGCTTTCTCCCCTCCTTCTTCAAGGGTGTGCTTTTGTTTCTGGTTCTTTCGTCTACAAGAACGTTTTCAGAAGGCCACTTTTAGAAAAAGCAATTTGGCCAGTCCCTCCAGCAGTTATTTGCAGGAAGCAAAGGATTCCCTTCTGTGTTCTGGAATTGGAAAAGGGCTGATGTGAATGGTGGGCAGCTTTTAAAATACACCCAGCCCACCCCCTCCCATCATTTAGCAGGGGCCTTGTATTTATTTCTTCAGGTGTAACACTTGAAATGCAAAGGCACCCTTTTTTGTAATAAGGAGGCCATCGACTGGGTATTGAACAAACATTGAACAATTGCTTTGCTGCATTTCCATTAATATACAGTATTTCTTTGATTCGTTAATATCCATAGTGAACAGAAAGAACAGGCCACCTTGATGTCTTTAACAAAGTCGTTTTGCAGCAAGTGGAGGTTTCAGCCACAGACCAGCCATCCCTTTTCACTGTAGTGGTCCACCCCTGGGTTTTTGAAAAATAAAAAAAGCCACACGGTCCTTATACAAAATCCAGAAACAAGGCTGGGTGATATTTCTGTTGGACCACAAAAATATTTCAGGTGGGCAAGCTTTCGTGTCCAACAGAACCCTTCTTCAGACGACCTGAAGGGAGGGGTCTTGCTGGACTCAAATATTTTTATCACTCCCATAAACACCCTGTTCAGTGTTAGTTTTGCATCTGGGGTTTTCTGCTCCTTCTGCATTGGCTCAGGTTTGCTTGAGGATTTTGGAGTCACACGGATTACCCCAGAGCGCCCTTCACAACTGCCCAGGAGCCTCGTGGCAGGGTGGTTAAACTGCAGTACTGCAGCCAAGACTCTGCTCGTGACCCAGGTTCAGCCTTGAGGTTCGCTCAGCCTTCCATCCAAATTGAGTACCCAGCTCACGGGGAAGGGGGGAAATAGGTAGCCCACGTAGTTAAATCATAAACCGCCCAGAGAGTGCTTTAAGCACTATGGGGCGGTGTAGAAGCAGCCCAGTTTTTGCTTTGCTTTGCTTTTCAGTCTGCACTTAAGGCAGCTTAAGACCCTCATCTGTGGAAGCACAGGCCATAGCAGAACTCCAAATACTTGGGAGGTTTCATTCGGCTGCACAGTTGACCTGTGCGGAGTCATGAAAATGTTTGCCCTCAAGCCGCAGCTCCCAGGGACGACACCTTCCAGAATCCACCAGAGAGTTGCAACCCCCAAAAAAAGGACCGCCTCAAAGGCCTGCCCTGAACACCTAGCCAGCTTATCATCCTTCAAGGCACAATGGCATCTGCCCCCGGCCCTCCATCTTCTGTTATTTCAAGGAACTCTGATAGTTTTATATTTGCGGGCAGGCAGTAGTCGAGCGTGGCATTTTAAAAGCCCACTATTGAGTTAATGTCCCTTTTCTCCAGCTGAGTTGAACCATTAGGACTCAGAATCTCCCCGCAGTAAGGAATCGAGTCACAGATTTCCTGCAGTCCTGTCTTATAGAACCATAGAGTCACTGACTAATTGAGTGGGAAGGGGCCCTCTAAAGGCCATCAAGTCCAACCCCCTGCTCGGTGCAGGAATCCAGATCAAAGTAAATCTGCCGGGCGGTTGTCCAGTTTTCTCCTGAATGCCTCCAGTGTTGGGGGGTGCTCAGCACCACCTAAGGTTGTGGGTTCCATTGTCGTACTACTCTAACAGGAGGTTTTTCCTGATAACTCAGCCTAAATCTGGCTTCCTGTAACTTCAGCGCATGGTTGTGTGCCCTGCACTCTGGGAGGATCGAGAACAGATCCTCTCTCTTACTGAGGACCCAAATCCCTAAAGACAAAGTGGGGTGGGAGGTTCTCGCATTGAATCATCCCCATCATCTTAGAACTGCAGAGGCGGAAGGGAGCCTTCCGATGTGGCAGAAAAGAACATGGACAAAAAGACCGAAAGAGTCCATGGCACATCTGGGCAGCTGGCTTCCATGCCCTTCGCTTGCTCTACACGGAGATTCTCCGGGTCTCTGCTTCCAATAGAGGCTGGCTGGCTGGTGCAATCTTCACCCATCTCTGTGTGACGTGCAAAGGTTGGTTGGCTGATTTCAGGGCGTGCAACTGAGGTCTGTCGTGCATGCACCTTGGATTACCCCCCTCCCCCCAAAAAAGCAGCCAAGCCTTGCACACACTCATAGATTGTAAAGTGAAAACACTGAGAAATGTCAGTGTTTTCACTTTACAGCTGCTTGGCCTTTAGACTTTCAGAAGAGAAACGGCTTCCTTTGCAACACAAACTTAAGACGCTCAGTTGTCTTTAGACTGTGCGTGCCCAGCAAGCGGACGGCCTTAGCAAAGCACAGCCCAACCCTGGCAAAAACAAAAAAAACAAAAACACCCATCTCACTCTCCTCACTGCTGGGTTTTGCTCCCTGCCGGCTGGCTCTTGCGCCGGAGCCCTGCCCTCTGCATGGTGCTGCTAACTAACGCTCTCCTCTTTCTCTTTCTCCTTCGGTGGGGTCTGTTTGTCTCTCTGTCTCTCTCTCTCTGTCCCGCAGGAGAGCCACCGCCTCGGCCGCCTCAGCCCTCGATCCTTCTAAAGAGTAAGTGGGCCCTCTTTCCTGGCCGCCGTCCCCCCTGCGCCTGCCCTCTCTGCTCGCTCTTGGCTCCTCTCCTCACAGGTACCGAGCGCATGGGCGCATGCGCGTGTGTGCTGTGAGCCCCTCTGCATCTGTTTGGCACTGTGCACGGAGATTCTGCAGACTGCATGAAGGGCTCGGACGATCGGGTCCCCTGACCATCAGCCCACCAAACAAGAAACTACAGTGGTGCCCCGCATAGCGACGTTAATCCGTTCCGGATTAATCGTCGCTATGTGGAAACATCGCAAAACGGAACTAAAAACCCCATAGGAACGCATTAAACTTCGTTGGGGCCCAAACTCGCCGTTATGCGAAGTTCTTCCATAGCGCCGCCATTTTCGCGCCCTCAGTAAGTGAGGAAACCGCGCGAAAATTGTTGCGGCGGCCATTTTGGGCACCCGACGGCCATTTTGGAACTGCCGATCAGCTGTTAGAAACATCGCAATGCGATCGCATTAGTGATCTAAAAAAATAGATCGCTATGCGGATTCGTAGTTAAATGGTGCGCTCGTTATGCGAGGCACCACTGTATTAATATTTACAGTCTTCCAAGGAGGGAGGGCCGTAAAGAGAGCTTGGGGCTGTTATCCCATTATCCACCTCCCACCATCCCAGCTGTGTGCTGGATGGTGGGAAATGTAGACCCTAAATGAAACTTTTTTAAAAAAGCTCTGTGATTCCTTCCCTCCAACATTTACCCCTTTGTAAATCTTGGGTTTTCTGGCATTACAGTACTCTTAACATGGTTTTTTTCCCCATCATCTCATCCTGTATTCCGCTCACCTTTGCCATCGCACCCATTAAAGGAATGTCACCATTCATAGTTTTGGGAGCCCCCAAAAAGCAGTGAGCAGGTGCTTTAAAGAAGATGTTTTTTGTATTTCATTGGGTTTATCTATAGGCTTCCATTCTGCCAAAACTGGGACCCAAGGTAGTTCCACATATAGATCAAAATCATAGCATTAACATAAAATACAATTTTAGAAAATATCTAAACTCTGGACTTGTTTAAAAGAGGGTTAAGGTCAGAAAATTTCAGAACCTTTTAATTGCCATGCTGATGTTGCCTTAAATTTTTTTTTAAAGTAAATTAAATGAATTAAAAGCACCTGCTTAAATAACTTGTCCAGTGTTGGTAACTTTTGAAGGATGAATGAATGAGTCTTTCTGAATTAAAGGGCCTTTGTATAATTCCCAGCCCCGGATTTTCATTTGTGATTCTCTCCTGCCCTCTAGTGGAATATACTGGTTTCCAACAGACTGTAGGAGAGGCCCATTTTGTCAATTAAGATTTGAACCTGGGGCCGGCCCTGTATGGGCCAACGTGAGGCAGCTGCCTCACATAATGCCTTTGGGGTGTCGCAGAAGAGCAGATTTTCTGCTTCAACCGCCCGAGTAACTGGGCTGGCTTTGAGTAATTTTTAAAAAAAATATATTATACCACCTTCCTGTTAAAAGAAATCTCCCTCAAAGTGGCTGATAAACATTATTAAAACAGCTTTAAAGCCAGTTAGGAACAAATGGGTGATAGAAATTGATTAAACAGTAACTGTGGAAATCACAGCAATCTGAAATACAGTGGTACCTCGCATAGCAATCGCTCCGTATAGCGATGAAATCGCTTTGCGATTGACTTTTTGCCATTGCAAGAGCGATCGCTTTGTGATGGTTGCTATGGGGAAATTTCGCTTTGCGATGATCGCAGGGAAGCAATCATCGCAAAGCCCTCATTTTCGGCCAGCTGATCAGCGGTTTCAAAATGGCCGTGGGGTAAACAAAATGGCCGCCTGCTGTGTTTCTTCGCTTTAGAGGTACCGAAAATGGCCGCCCCTATGGAGGATCTTTGCTTTAAGGTTAGTTTTTAGCCCATAGGAATGCATTAATCAGGTTTTAATGCGTTTCTATGGGCTTTTTAATATCGCTTAGCAGCGATTTTTGCGGCACGGATTAACATCGCTAAGCGAGGGACCACTGTACATTGATCAATGTTTAAAAACAGTAAAATTGACAAATTGGAAAAACCAGAAACCATCACAGAAATCATGGAACAAGCTGAAGGTTCAGTTTGTCTTAGATTCTGCCATTAAAAAAACACACCAGTATTCACCCCACCTGCCCCAAGGGCGGCGTATGGGGGTTTTTTTGCTCTGGCTCCCACCCCATTTTAGCATAGGATGGCGGTGGAGTTGAAGCTCAGTTTTCCCATCTCGACGCCAGTGTGGGAGTGGGACAGGCGCGAGGTCACTCTGTGGGTTTCATGGCCAGCTGGGGATTTGAACGCAGGTCCTCGACCAGTGCTTTGGTCACAATATCATCCTGGCAAAGCCCCACGGTGATCCCTCGTCCCGTGTTTCTCTGAGTGCTGCTTGCTGTCGGGGAAGGAGGGATTGCGTCTCTTGCAGGTGGGGTGGGGTGGGGGTTACTTGGACTTTGACCGCATGCCCTCACCTTGTGACTGGCAGAGGACATGAGAGCTGGGAGGATGCCTGGCCCTGTGGCGCGGGGGTGGGGGGAGAGAGAAGCATGCATGCATTTAACATGGGGGGCCATAAGTGGGAAAGCAGCTGGTTTGACCCTTGCCGCTTGGGAGCCACAGGGGTCCGAGAGGAGAGAAGAAGAGGTACAGGATGTTTCATCTCCCGGCTTCAGAGCCAGGCCTCTGCTTCCTCTTCTACCCGTGACTTAGGCCATGATCTGTCCCTGCTGGATGACGGGTTTATGTGGCTCGTTCCACGTAGGTCGTGATGCAGTGTGTCTGCTGGCTTGTGGAACACTGCACTGTGGTTTGCCATGATGGGCCTGCGTGACCTAGTATTGATGTTCAAATGTGTTTGAATTTTGTTTAACGTATTCAAACACAAATTTTACTCTTTCAGCCAGCGACAGGGTTTTTAATATATTGCAGTTTGCGGGTTTGTTTGCATGACTAATTAGGTTTTGATGGGTTATGAATGCACGGAGAGAGTTGGCACTAATGGGCTGTATAGAAGTCAAAATAATAAATAACAAGACCCATAAGGCCATGAATGTTTATTTTATTTATGGAATGAAATTGCCTACATGTTTCCTTTATCCCCTGCCCTTTTTTATTTCCAAATAGAAATGCATTCATTTATTCAACCTTCCATTCGTTCATTCATTTTGTGTTCCTCGACCGCTTAGACGTGACCCATTTCAAATCCGTGTACATACATTTAAAAATATCCCACAGTAAAGATGACGCACAAAGTTCAAATGCGACACTCGCGTTGTCCACAAAACTGGCCGGTTACACCACATAGGGAAGGCTTAAATATGTAGGCACCTTCCTGGCAGGCACCTATGACTAAATACCATATTTTTCCGTGTATAAAATGACACTTTTTCCTAAAATAATTAGAGGAAAAAATGAAGGTCGTTTTATACACGGAAGGCAGCCGCAGGAGGCGGAGACAGAGGCAAAGGAGCAGCTGTACATGGCCGCCTCTCGCGGCTGCCCATTGACTGCTGCCACCACCGCTGGATTGCCTCCTCCAGCGATCTTCGGGCGGGGGACAAGGCGGCGACGTGAGCTGAAGGTAAACCCCAGCAGTGGCGTTGGAGGGGGCAATCGAGCGGTGGTGGCAGCAGGAGATGGAGGCGGAGGAACAGTTGTGCTGGGCCGCCCTTCACGGCTGCCCATTGACTTCTCCTCCACCTCTGGCAAGGGTAACAATTAGAGGGTCATCTTATACATTGGGAGGTCATATACACGGAAAAATACGGTGCGGCGGCCCATTGACTTCTCCTCCGCCTCTGGCAAGGGTAACAATTAGAGGGTCATCTTATACATTGGGAGGTCATATACACGGAAAAATACGGTAGCTGTCGGGGCATGTCAAATTGTATTCCCCATAGGGTTGGGGAGGGTGCCAACGTGCTTAAGGCCCTGCTCTGGATGCCTGTGGAGCGGACCTTGACGACATTGCTCAACGGATTCCCAGGCATTTCTGGGCTCCTTCCCAAAATTTGGAATGCTTTTCCTAAGAGATCATTACGGGCAATAAGGATATGTCGGTATTCTGGTTGCGCCCTTCTCTCTTAGCAGTGCCAACCACCGGCATGCGGTCTTGAAGGACCGCTCTGAGTGGGATTAAGCGCCTGGCCCAAAATCCACTCCCAGAACCTCACTATAGATGCTCTTTGCTTTCCAGAGCCTTCCTACGACCCCGTGAGCGAGGAGGAGAACCCGCTCGCTTTGGGACTCAAGCACCTGTACCTGAAGAAGAAGCCGGGTCCCCCGCGAGGCCCGCGTCCTGCTAAGCCCTCGGCCTGCGTCTCGGGCACCAAGGTGGGCGAGAGGCTGCTCCTGCCTCGGACCAAAGGGGGCCACGAGGTGACGCTGATAGACTTTGAGGACGAGCCCGCCCCTACCACCCCGTCGCCCATTGGGGAGCACTGTGCCCCCTCGCTGGCCAAGCTGGCCATGGAGGCGTTCTCCTTGTTGGACAAGACTCCCCCTCAGAGCCCCACCCAAGCCCTGCCCCGGCCCCTCCACCCGACTCCCGTCGTGGACTGGGATGCTCGCCCCCTTCCTCCGCCGCCCGCCTACGACGACGTGGCTCAAGACGAGGATGACTTTGAGGTGTCCTCCATCAACAGCACGGAGGGCTTCGCGGGCCAGCGAGGCGGCCCCCAAGCCTGGGACGAGGAGGGCTCGGCCGGCGGCGTCGGCGTCTCCGAGGGGGCCTCCCCAGCTGCCGCCCTCGAGGACAACCTCTTCCTGCCGCCCAAAGAGGTCAAGCAACCCAGCCCCGCCCAGACGACGGAGATCTTCCAAGAGCTGCAGCAGGAGTGCATGAAGCGCCTCCACGTCCCCGTGGGAGCCGCCTCCGTGGCCTCCACACCCAGCCCGGTGGAGGACAAGCCCCAGATCCCCCCTCGGGTGCCCATCCTGCCTCGGCCGCTGCGGAGGAGCGAGCCCAGCCGCTGGTCCGGAGAGTTGTCGCCGGCCTCGGGGGGCGAGGAGGACCGCCCGCCCCAGATCCCCCCACGAGATCCTCTCTCCCAACCAGGCTCCAGGACGCCGAGTCCTCGAGCCCTGTCGGGCGGCTCCCCGCAGCCGAGAGCCAACCTGTGTTCTCCTCATTCCCTGGGCCAGTTCCTGTCCACGTCCCCCGGGAAGCCCCCCATGCCCATGACCCAGAGTTTCGCGTTGGACCCCAAGTACGCCACTCCCAAGGTGATCCAGGCTCAAGGGAAGGAGAACGCCAAAGGGCCCTGCATCCTGCCCATCGTCAAGGACGGGCGGAAAGTCAGCAATACCCACTACTACCTGCTCCCGGAACGCCCTCCCTACTTGGACAAGTACGAGAAGTTCTTCAAGGAATCCCGGCACCCCGAAGAGGGGTCCCCTCCGGCCCGGGTGGTCACCACGGCCACCGTGCGGCCCATGATCCAGCACCCACCGGACGGGCGGGCCAACTTCTCCTCCAACAACAACAGCCACGTGGCCGCCAAGGCCACCACCTGTGGCTTGCAGAAGATCATCTACGACGGCCCCGACGGCGCTCGGCCGTCGGAGAAGATACGGCTGGTGAGTGGCTCCCTGGCTTGGGGTGTCCCGTTGCAGCGCGGCCAGTTGAATGTCTGGGGCGGGAGGGAGGAATACGGAAACTCGCCTTTTAAAAGATCAGGCCAAAATGAAAGGAAAATTAAAAAATAAAGAAGACACCGTTGTTGTGGCACCGTGGCGGATTGGTTGCCAACCCCCCAGCGGATGCTGGAAAATGTGGTTTATAGCAAACACCATTCATAGCGTGCTCTCTGGCTCCCTCTAGTGTCCTGTTCTGGCCACTTCACCTTTAGAAATAGGATCTTTCTTTTAATATTTTTATTATTTTGAGATAAGTGAATCCGCGGGCACTGCTCCCGCAGATAAGGGAGGTCCTGCTGTATTTTTAATGGGAATTTTTGTGGACAAGGCCACTTCCTGGGCCTGATGAAGTGGTCTTGTCCGTGAAAGCTCACAGTCACATAGAGCAGCTAGTCCTCAGGATGCCACAGGTTTGCCTTTTTTAAATTTTTTCTTTTGTTTTGGCCTGATCTGGTAGAACAGACTAAGACGGCTACCGCTCCTGAAACGACAGCTGCTTAAATGTGTCTCATAGAAGACCTGGGTGAACTCTGCCGTCCGGGGTGAGGGAGCTGGTTTTGGGCTCTGGACACTCTGTCAAATAGAGCAGCTAGTCCTCAAGATGCCACAGGTTTGCCTTTTTAAAATTTTTTCTTTTGTTTTGGCCTGATCTGGTAGAACAGACTAAGACGGCTACCGCTCCTGAAACGACAGCTGCTTAAATGTGTCTCATAGAAGACCTGGGTGAACTCTGCCGTCCGGGGTGAGGGAGCTGGTTTTGGGCTCTGGACACTCTAAGAGGTGGGGCTTTCCACAGGTTAGGGTCATGATGGATCCACTAAGACAACACACACACACACACACACAGGCTCCTCTGGACCCCTTAACGTCCTGACAGAGCCCCCTTCTTTCCTCCCTTCACCTGAAAATCTGCCTCACGTGGAGTCCGGTTGGCCATTTAGGAGCCTTTTCTTTAGAATAAGCAACGTTTTAAGTCAGAAATGACATTTCTCATCACCTGAGGCAACCGTCTGGTCATTTCCAGATTCTAAAAGGTGGGGAACAGCCTCTGGACCCTTGACCATAGCCCCTTCCTACAGGTTTTAAGAATCGCTGGATTCTACTACCTCTTTAAGATCTGTGAATTCATGCGCTAATGTGTCTGCTCTGTTTAGCATTTTTTATTCTGATTCTGTTGGTTCCGGGTGGGGGGGAGAGAGGGAACTAAATTAGACTCTCTCTCTCACACACACACACACAATTTGCAGAAATTTGGAAGATTAGCCCTACTATGCATGTGGTTTCGGGAGAGGAGAGCATGAGAATTGCTTTGAAGCAGGGATCAAGCCAAAGCAGACCTCCTCCATCATCCTCTTTCCTGCTGCAGCAACCCGGATACCCTTTGCAAACAGCTGTCTGCAAATAGAAGAAATTAATTAGTCAGTGTGCATGGTTTTATTTACTAAGTGCAACATTTTTGCATGTTCAGAAAGCCAAGATCCTTAGCATACAGACTGCAGATTTATGTCCAGTTCTTGCTACCCTTGCTGCAGTCGGGTGGTGTGCCCAACTATGGTCCAAAGTCACATCGAATACAGGTGTGCATTACCCTGTTCACAGAGCACAGCTTTCTTTTTCCAGCAAGGACAAGTGCTGTCAGAGGTGCGAATCGGAAGGGATGATTGCCCGGGGGGGGGGGGGGGGAAGAGGCATTACACGCAGAAGGTCCTGCGTTCCAGCCACAGTGTCTCCTGTTAGCAAAACCAGGGAGCAGGAGATGGGAAGAAGCGTTTGCAGCCAGAGAGCTGTCACCAGGCAGTATAGACCACTGGTTCTTAACCTTGGGTTACTCAGGAGTTTTGGACTGCAACTCCCAGAAGCCTTCACCACCAACTGTGCTGGCTGGGGGTTCTGGGAGTTGCAGTTCAAAAGCATCCGAGTAACAAAGGTTAAGAACCACTGGTATAGACCAACCCTGGATCGATGAAGAAGCAGACAAGAGTCAGAAAGAAGCAGCGTCTTATGTCCAGACTCAGCTGAACAGATTGAAAAGTTACCCTTGGGAATTGGAACTTCCAGAATCTAAAATGGACTCGAAAAATTTTGGGCTGCAGTTTCCAGAATTACTAGCTGGACAAGGAGCCAGGCTGTCAGAGGAATTCTGGGAGGCATCATCATCATCATCATCATCATCAAGTAACTTCGCCAAGCTTGGGTTGACACTCCTAGGGGACTCGTTAGGGAATGAGGGTGCTCATATGGCACCTGTGTTTTGGACATCCCACCTCTCAAAGTCTCACTTTCAACATCTGTGCAGAAACAGGAACCACCTCCTGTTCCTCTTTCCTTATAATAAAATAACTCCCAATTTCTATTTTCTCCCTTCCTATTTTCATATTTCTCAAAATGATACTCGCAAACAGGATTTACCGTAGGACTCCCTTATCCATGGGATCAGCATCCACTGATTCACTTATCCGTGGTTTGAAAATATTTAAAATGTTAAAAAAGAGAAATCCTAGCAATATATATTTCTAGAGTTGAACTTACCAGAACTGATCACTAGAGAGAGCCAGAGTACCATGCTGTGCATCGCATTCACTAGAGAAATATATTTCCACTAGTCATTACCAGAACAGGTCACCAGAGGGAGCCAGAGACCATGCTGTGCATACCTTTCACTAGAGAAATATATTTCCACTAGTCATTACCAGAACAGGTCACCAGAGGGAGCCAGAGACCATGCTGTGCATACCTTTCACTAGAGAAATATTTCCACTAGTCATTACCAGAATGGGTCACCAGAGGGAGCCAGAGACCATGCTAGGCATAGTATTTTCTATTAAAGGAGCATTCGCTATTATCCGTGTTTTTCAGCATCTGCAGGGTGGGAGTCGCTTGGAACCCTACCCCCCCATGGATACATGGATCCTACTCTATATGTGATTCTTGGAACCCTATTCCCACCCCCCCGGATACATGGATCCTACTCTATATGTGATTCTGTTTGACTGTCGGTCTTACATCCTGTACACAGTCCTCAAGGAGGACGTGAGGTGACTCATGGGGTTATTTTTCCCCCCTTCCGCAGGTCCAGGAGATGGTGCACGGAGTCACGACCGAAGAGTGCCAGGCAGCCCTGCAGAACCACGGCTGGAATGTGCAGAAGGCCATCCAGTACCTGAAGGTAAAGGCGGCCGGGATGTGGCGGCTCTCCCCTTCTTCCCCCTTTCCATCCCTCCGATGCCACCGAGCGCTTCTGGCCAGCCGTGAAGTCTTCCAGCCCGAGAGCTCCGGCCAACGTCCACGCTTGGGCTGCTCTTTCTAAAATCCTCCCACGCTCGCAGCTGTTGCGTCCAGATGATCCCAGAGCAGCAAAGAGAGCCGAGAGAACCTCTCTCTTTTTGCCTTTTCCTGAGCAGCTCTGAGTTGTGCTTCCAGAGCCCGGTTGAGCAGGTCCCTCCCGGGCGCTCAGCCTCGCCAGGTCCTCCTCTCTTCCCCCGCGGCTTCTGCCTTGCTTGGTGCTTCTCTGTCTCCAGGCAGAAATTCCCAGCGTTTGAACCTAGATTTGTTCTGTCTGTCTGAGACCGCCTGACAAGCAGGTGTGTCGTCGTAGATTCCCCAAGATTAGAAAGTTTCGTTAGCCACTTAATGACTTCAGGAACGAGAAGTGGGCTCTGACGGAGGCCTGCCCTCCAGGGTCTGCTGGGTGAGGGAAGAAGGCCGGAGGTGGGAAGCCGTTGTAATCTGGATGACAGGTCCCAGAGTCCCAGGACTACCGTGGGCTCTAGCCACGCTCTCCCATCTGCCACATCCACGGTGGGTCCTGTGTGCCTCTGGACGCAGTCCTGGCTTCTGCCTTTCTCACGGCTCCGCCTCTCCCAGCCCCCAGGGAAAGGGACTGTATGGGGCAGAGTTAGAAAACTTGGAACGGCAGAGCTGGAAGGAGCCCTTTGAATTATGCAGTCCGGCCCCTGTGAAGGAGACTCAGTGGGGAATCGAACCCCCAAACTTTGGCTCCATGGCCAGAGACCTCAACCCTTGAATTCGCTAGCCAGCAAATCATCTGAGACCTGCGTTGCTGGGAAGGGACCCTTATGGATCATCAGCCCCTGTCAGGGAGGCCCAGCGGGGGATCAAACTCCCAACCTCTGGCTCCACAGCCAGGTGCCCAAGCATACTGATTTTACAGACCTGAGAACTGTTTCTGTGGGACACGGCCAAGGTTCGGGAGAGGCCACCGCCGCCCTGCCACAAGATCATGGTGGCTCTTCTGCCCATTGTGCAGGGATTAGAGGCACCGGATGGGTTGCTTGTATCTTTTGAATCAGCCAGCCAGTCTCTCTGAATAGCTGTGCTTTCCCTCTGGCCAGTGATGGGAAGTCAGTGAGTGAGAGAATGTAGTCTCAGTGATTGGAGTCCTCCCTTCTCTCATCTTTGTGCATGGGAACGAGACGGCGACAGAATTTTCTCCTTGTCCGCAAGAGGAGGCAGATTTTTCTGCGAGTCTCAGCCACCATTTTTGCCTTTTGCAAAAGCACCTTTGTGGTGAATTGCGTTAGACGGGCCAATGGATCATGGTGCACGACGAAGCAAGGGTGGCTGCTGCCTTGGTGGATAGGCTGCAAAAAAAAATGTAGAGGCACTGGATGGGTTGGTTGTGTCTTTGGGATCAGCCAGCTCATCTCTCTGAATGGCTGTGCTTTGCTTCTTAAAGACAAAGGACACTTGTTTTTTACAGAGATCATAGAATCATAGAAAAGTGAAGTTGGAAGGGGCCTACAAGGCCATCCAGTCCAACCCCCAGCTCAAGGCAAGGATACCATCAAAGCAGATGTTTTGCACACATTTCATTTTGATTTTTTTTAAGGTGCCTTGTTCTCGCCCTGGAAGCAGGAAATCTTGCGTGTCTTAACAAACGCTTGACTTCAGTCTGTTTAGTGAGTGCCCTTTAACATCACAGGATGTCTACCACCCCTTGGTCACTGCTCCCCTTGATTTTGGTCTGTTGTCTGACGGCACTGGTTCTCTTTCCAACCTCATCTTCTCACCTTCCCCGTCTCCACAGGTTGAGCAGCTTTTCTGCCTGGGTCTCAAGACGCGGCTGGAGTGCCACAAGGTTCTGGAGATGTTTGACTGGAATCTGGAGCAAGCCAGCTCTCACTTGCTGGATCCGTACAGCGCCTTTCGGCTCAAGTAAGAACCACCGGCAAAAAATTCCCTTCCCCTTTTGGGACCTTTCTCACGTTGCTGTTCTGTCCTGGAAGGTGGAGAGTCTGAAGCAGCAAAAGGAAGTAGGGGAGGCTTCTGGGAATTGTAGTCCAAGAACACCTGGGTTACCCCCCAGGTTGGGAACCCCTGCCATAAACGCTTGAGCGGCAAACGGAGGAACTCCGGAACGGTCCCATTCCCCCAAACCTGGGCTTCTGTCTAGGCAAAGATTTCTGTAGAAAAGTGTCGGTAGCTTGTAGAATGGTCGAACCAGGCAGAAGGATGACCGGACTCCTGTAACACTTCCGAGGCTTTGAAAGTTACTTCTAAAAAGTAACAAGTTACAGGTATTGTTCCAAGCCACTTTCTGCTGTTGTTTTTAGTTAGCTCTTCTTTTAAGCCCTCTCCGGTTGTTACCTTGTCCGGGACCATCAACACGGGTCGAAAGGGGCAGCTCTTCTCTCCCTGCTTTCTGAGAGTAAGTCCAGAAAGGAATCCGGCCAGGAGAGGCTCTCGTTCGTGCGTGCAAGCCGGAGGCCTGGAAAATCGGGGTTCTTCCTCGTAGGAAGGCCCTCCCTACACCCATGAGCCCAAACTTCCACTCTTCAGACTTGAGAAAGTGATGAGGGAGGGAGGGACCACCATCCGTCCCCTCTGCTTTGACTTGGATTCCTACCTTGAGCAGGGGGTTGGACTGGATGACCTTAGAGTGGCCCCTTCCAACTTCATGATGGTATGATGTAGGGCTGGACATACCTCTCTGTCCATCCTCATGATGCCATATAAAATAGGGCTAGAGTTGCCATTTTTAAATAGTACTCCACTTTTTATTTTCCCATTTGTCAAAAGTAATTAAAACAGATGCTTTTAGTTACTTTTTTAAAAAAAACAATGCTGTTACAAATACACCCCTCCACCCATTCAGCCAGTTGTTTCTTCAACACCTGCAGTAGAACCTGAGGTGGCCGCATCCGCCTTCGAGTGGAACAAATATTCTTCCTCCTCCGCTACTGTGAGAAGCCACTTCCTCGGAACTAAAAATGTAACTAAAAAGTTACAGTTACATTGCAAACAAAAGGACTGAAGTTTCCATTCCATTAAAATTGTACAGTTAGCCTTTGAAATATTGGGGGTAGCAATGAATTAGGTGTAATTGATGATTACGCTGGAACCTTGTCTGTGTGGAGTGTTTAAGTTACTTACAAGTTTGTATCTGAAAAAGAAGTTAGGCAATGGGCCTCCCTCTCTCTTCATTGACGCCATTCACATTTACTCCCTTTTTTGTTGATGCTGTCATTGATATACTGCGATGACCTATGGTTTTAAGAAATTAGACAAAAAAAGTAAAGTAAAGTAGTGGAATAAAGTGGTGTCGCGTTTAGGGTTGTTTAAAGAAGAGTAATCACTAGCTTGTGTTTGGGTAGAAAATGGAAAGTATGTTCTTTGCATCAAGTAATCCATATTCACAGACAGTCCCGGGGGAAGGGAAGACCCTGAACGAAGTTCTGGAAGCGCCCAGACGTGGTGGCTCTGCGGGTTAAACCGCTGGGGGAAGGGAAGACCTTGAACGAAGTTCTGGAAGCCCCCAGACATGGTGGCTCTGTGGGTTAAACCGCACTCTGCGGGTTAAACCGCAGAAGCCTCTGTGCTGCAAGGTCAGAAGACCAGCCGTCATAAGATCAAATCCATGCGACGGAGGGAGCTCCCGCCGCTTGTCGCAGCTCCCGCCACCCTAGCTGTTTGAAAGCATGTAAAAATGCGAGTTGATAAATAGGTACCACCATGGTGGGAAGGTAAATAGCATTCCTTGTCTAGTCGTGCTGGCCACATGACCACGGAAACTGTCTCCGGACAAACGCTGGCTCTACAGTTGGGAAATGGGGATGAGCACCGCCCCCTAGAGTCGGACACGACCGGACTAAATGTCAAGGGGAACCTTTACTAGACGTGTTCCCCATGGAGGGGGGCATCTGTTGATGGTCCTTATGAATGAGGCCTAAAGAAGCCCAGAGCTGGCTGGAAGAAGGAAGAATAGAAAGCCATTTAATTACCGCCAAATTATCCCTTAGACGAGAAGGGACATGATGGCCCGGGCCATCTGCCTTTCACCCCTTTTGATGCCTCTTGTTTCTCTGTTGTCTGTGGCCAGGTCCCTTCCAGTTTATGGCAACTCTGTAAATTAAGATCCTGCAGAGGGACGTGCCGTCAACAGCCCGGCTGGCCTCTTGCAAAGGGAAAGCTGTGGTTTCCTTTATTGACTCAGTCCATCTCATGTTTTCCCCTCCTCTTTGCCATTTTGCACCTGCAGGCGATGATGATCGGCGGCCGTCCTCTGAAACGGAACTGGTTTGGCCCCCAAGGTGGGCTCGTTGGTTCCTCGTTGGTGCTGTCCGGCAGACCTTCACTTCCAGGCCTACGGACCGAGAGGCAGCTCCCCGAGAGAGAAGGGCAGAGCAGAGGCCGAAGAGACTGGGGCTCAAGCGGTCGTGAACCGCCGGGCCGGGCCAGCGCGCATTCCTCCGCGTCTGCCGGCCAAAGACTGCACCCCCTCCTGCCTCGTCTCCCGCAGACGCTGGCGGCTCCGAGCCGGCTTGCGTTTTCCAGCCCTGCTTGCGCTTCCAGCCGTCGTTCCCATCGCTTGCTGTTGAATTCGTTTTGTAAAGAGAAGTGTTACCATTAATATATAAATATTCTATTCTATTTTGCAGAGAACAGAGTTGTTGTCAAATGCAAACCCATGTCGACATGAGCAGGGTGGGTGTGGGGTGATGGGACCGGATTTTAGCGAAGGGGCCTGCGTGCCGGGGGCTTTCTGGAGATGGGTTGTGTCGGAGTCACAGACAAGAAAAGGTGCAAGCCTTGGAATCGGAGTGATTTTTCTCTTCCCGCTATTCTCCCCTTGAAATTGAAGGGCCCATTTTTCATGCAGCTGGACCGGGACTTGCATTGAACAAGGAAAGGCCAAGCTGTGCATAGACTGCTGTGCTTGTGTGTCCGTGCGGGCCATGCTGCATAATGGATTGCGCTGCTCAACAACTTTACTCCTCACCATTCGCTTCCTGCTCACCACCCTTTCTCATTTCACTAGTGCAAATTGCTGGCTCACACCTTCAGAGCTGTTTATTTCTGTCCCTCACAAGGATGGTAAGATCAGAGTGTGGAAAAGTTGCTTTTTTTAATGCACTACGATTCCCCAAATCCTCCATTCTGCATAGCGAGGCCTGGCTTGGAGATTCTGGGATTTAAATCTTCCAAAAGCAAGAAAAAAACTTTTTAGATGAATGCAAAGCTATCTCTTTCTCAAAAAAAACAAAAACCCACACACACAAAAACTCGTCCAAGAAAGTAACAAGGGTTCTGGGACCAATTCAGATCAAGTGGGAGCCCAATTTGAGCGTCTGCAGACCTTTCATTTTCCCCAAGCAGTTGCTCCAAATAGTCTGGGGTTGCAAACACAGAATTAGTCCATTTAGAGTCGTGGACTAGGATTCAAGAATCCCTGCTCAGCTGTGGAAACTCACTGCTGTGTGTGTGTGTCGAACTGGTAAAAACACTCCTTAAATATCTCACTTTCTTTCAAAGGCCTGTTCGGGTTGGTATACGTGGGTTCTGACTTGACGGCACAGAAGAACAACTGGGTGGACATTTGGGATAATGAACTTGCAAAGGGGCGTTGTTGTTATTGATTAGCCGTTAAGTCATGTCCAACTCTTCGTGGCCCCCATGGACCAGAGCATGCCAGGCCCTCCTGTCTTCCACTGCCTCACAGAGTTGTGTCAATTTCATTGCTTCGATGACACTATCCAACCATCTCATCCTCTGTTGTCCCCTTCTCCTCTTGCCCTCACCCTTTCCCAACATCAGGGTCTTTTCCAGGGAGTCTTCTCTTCTCATGAGATGGCCAAAGGATTGGAGCCTCAGCTTCAGGATCTGTCCTTCCAGTGATCACTCAGGGTTGATTTCCTTCAGAATGGATAGGTTTGCTCTCCTTCCAATCCAGGGGACTCTCAAGACTCTCCTCCAGCACCACAAGGGGCGTTGCATCCAACCAAATAGGAACCAAACCTTCAATCGGCTTGGCTGCTCTTGTCCAACCATAGATTGTTCTGCCACTTAGCCAGTAAACTCAAGTAAAGGTTTCGCTGAAAAGATGGAAGTTTGGCCAACTCGCCGAAGACTGTGTCTCCTTGTTGGTTGGGTGCAGGACTCTCTGCCTCCCCACCCACCCCCTCATGTTTTGCAGCTTGGGGCCCCCCAGACGCTGGATGACAGCTTCCACCTGCCTGAGCCCTTGGCTAAAAAAGATCTACAGGGGTGCCTCGCTTGACGACGTTAATTTGTTCCAGCGCAAAAGCAATCGCAAAAACATTGTCATGAAGCTGATTCGTCGTTATACGGGGTAATCGTTAAGCAGGGCACCACTGTTTATCGTGGCAACAACTGTCCAGTGACATACAGAGAGCTACGAGCTATCCTCCCTGCCCCATAAGTCGCCCTTGTTTTCCTTCTTTGGCTTCTGTCTTTCCGTCTGAAATTCACCTCTAAAGCGCCTATGCAGGAATCAGGATATTTTCTGTTGGTATCTTTGGGATTGCCCTGCCCTGTTGTTGAGGCCATTGATGCAATGGCAGGTAATATAAGAAGCACCAGCCAGCAGTTCCTACCATCAAAGGGTAGCGTTAACGAGTGGCTGTAATCTTCCGTGTGGGTTTAGCCCTTCTCTGTAATGCCCGGAGGAGGGGGGTTGGGGACCATTTCATCTTCCACTCTTGGGGGGCCAGGGGTTCAGTCTCCAGAGGTAAGGTTTAAAAATAAGAGCACCGTGGATGCATGAGGGGCTCTAAGGATCTAAATGTGTGGTTTCCCTTGCACAATTGCAGTACAGGGTCCCAGTGGGTTCTGCATGCACACAGATGCTCCGTTTGCTGTTATGTGCCGTCATGTCACACCACCCTACAACTTAGAGTGATCTTAGGAATGAGCAGTCTCCAAGAGGTCCCCTCAACAGCCCTGCTCAGCTGTTGCAAACTCAACCCCGTGGCTTCCTTTAGAGAGTCAGCGCATCTCGTACTGGGTCTTCCTCTTTTCCTGCTGTTGTCTGCCTTTCCCAGCCTGATGGTCTTTCCCAGAGAACCCTGCCTTCTCGTGAGGTGCCCAAAGCAGGAGAGCCTCGGTTTCGACATTTTGGCCTCCAGGGATGACTCAGGCTAGATCGGCTTTGACCGGGACCCACTTGTTTGTCTTTTCAAAACAAAGAACCAAACCTTAACGGTCTTTACGGTCTTCTCCATTCCCAACCCTACAGGCCACGCAGAGTGAAACCTTAAATGTTTTGGAAGTCCCCTTTGAAAGCCCCCCCCCCCCCCGAGCTTTATGCTGTTCTTTCATGTCAGGCCAACGCGAAGATCACTCTGTCTTTAATAAGTAGTCATTCCTGCGTCCCATTTTTTTAATGAAGGGCTGTAACATCCTTAAAAGTTATTTGAGTTTTTGTGTCTTTTCCTTTGGCCAAAGAAGGGTAAGACCAGAAGTTCCCTTTTGAGAAATGCAATAGAACCGAGGCTCATCAGCAGTTACTCCAGGAGATGGGAGTCGCTTACCAAGGGAAGAACTCGTTTGACCGGCATGGCCTCTAAGCATCTTTCATCTCCATGGTTTAAATCCAATTATTATTGTAGCAGCTGCTGTTGCTTTGTATACTACCTATAGTATAGGGGCAGTTTACAATGTAATTATACTGTGCCCCCCCAGCAAGTCGGATACTACCGTAATTTAAGTCATGAACAGAGTCTTGACTGCAGTACTGCAGTTTAACCACTGCACCAAGGGCTCGTCAGCAAACCTATATCCCTTGCTGGGGCTTTGAGGTGTTCTCCCACTCAAGGACTGGCCAATTGCAGACTTTTGTTAGTTTGCCAAGGTGCCAACCTCGTGTGCTGGGGCCCTTAAAGCATAAACGCATTCCCTTCTGGTAGCTTTGTCTTTAGAAATATATATTTCTAGGATTTTTCTTTTAAAATTTTCAGACCATGGATAAGTGAATCAGCAGATATGGGGGTCCTACTATGCTCTTTGAGATGCAGAACCATGTTTCTAAGGCATCTTTCTTGCGAAAAGCAGCCAAGGCAAAATACAGTGACAAAAGCTTATCCCACGGCTATAAATACTGAACTGTCCCACAAGCTGCACCAGAGCACAGACAGAGTTCTGACTCCTGTCCTCTGAAGATGCCGGCCACAGAGACTGGCGAAACGTTAGGAAGAAAAACCTCAACAACACGGCCAAACAGCCCGAAAAACCCACAACAACCATATCTGTATTTGTCTCCCAGGGAGACAAAATGATATGAAAATCACCACCACAGTGTATGTTGGAAACAAACCCAGCAGGAAGTTAGCTTGATAGAAACTCATTCATCTGCCAGCTAGTTTTCTACAAAATGAGTTTTTTTTTTGGTACGAAGGATTGTTCAGTTTCACAGAGATTAAATAATAGAGATGGCCCAGAGCAGGTTTCTTAACATGTAAAACATGGAGCAAGAACTTAAAATTGGTTTAAAGAAGGCATATTTGGTGGTGCTACGCATTCTTCAGTTCTATTGTGTGGCACAAAATCAAGGACTTTTAATGAAGGCAACCACAAGAAAAGCCCAGGGGCTTGCATTGGGAAGTGGATTTATCACAGGATGCCAATCACTTCTGGTGTTGAGATCATGGTTAGCAAAGTAGTACTAAAAGGGGAGAATAAAGAGGAAAGCTTCATAAAACTCACACAGTCCCGAAAGCTAGAACAGTCTGGTCATGGAATTAAAAAAAGAGAAGTACAGATTGTTCCAGCTGATCATTCAAGGCAAACTAAGGCACTGGTGATGCAGGAAGTGGGAGACAATATGGGCCGAAGAACCCGATAAACTAGCTTGGAGACCCACTACGATCACTCTTTTTCGGAACAGATGCAATGACTGACGTCCAACCTCCACTAGGAGAGCAACGAGAAGATGATTAAGCTGCTATGCTCCAGACACACCATCAACCTGCAGGCACCGTGAAGTGGAAGGTTTGGACTGCTACCCTGACCCTCATTTCGCTCACACCTTCTTTGTTCAGTTAGGGGTTTGTTGCTTTGAAAATTATACGTTCTGAAGCTTTTTTGTGAAGATGCTTTCAAAAGCTAGACATGGCAGGTGAGGCTACATTGCCTCGTTGATCAGTTAGACCCATTTCAGATAACGCAACAAGAGCGGGTTGGTTGGTTTCTAAATTGAATCTCTAGGGCTTATAAAAATGGTATTTTCAGAAGGAGGAAAATAAAGTTTGTAAGTGACAGCAAAACACAGTTCGACAAATCATATCGACACACAATTAAGGAGATCATGGAAAGGGTTGCCATGAGTTCGAATTGACTTGACGGCATTAGGTTCTAAGTGTATCGACACACAATTAAGGAGATCACGAGAAGGGTTGCCATGAATCTGAATTGACTTGACGGCATTAGGTTCTAAGTAATTATTCCCTACATTATTGGTGGCATCCAGACCCATTAAGCTGTCTGGTGGCAGGATCCACCCATGATTATGTGAAAAAGGAGCATTATGGAACCGAGGGAGCATCTTAGCCCATGATGGAACTCCCATGATGCCATTATGACATCACAAAGCGCAATGGACACCTACTCTCAAGCCGCCTCACCTGGCCCGGCTCGGCCACTGGCATCTGAGATGTGGCTTCAGCTGCCTCAGCCAACGTCCCTCCTGAGGGTCACGATCCTTTCCGACTCGTTACCTTTTCTCTTTCATCTAGTTTAGCCCTGAAACAGTGAGCTTGAAGAGTGGACACAACTTACCTTTTCCTAGGTAGAGAGCAGCGTCCCTACCCAACGTCGCTCAGTGAGTAAGCTGTAAATGCCCATTTTCATTTCAGTTTCTTCTCAAGAGATACGAGACAGTATACAAGAAATATTTTTTAAAAAGAAAAAAAAAGGAAAAAAAGGGAAGTCAAAGATGAACAGCTGGTCCTTTTCAGCCGTTATAACTCCATCCTCCCCCTTTCTGAGCCCTCTGATCATTTTGTTTGAAATGGGAAATACAGCAGTTAAAAAAATAATTAAAAAATCAAAACATTGGCAAGTTAAAACAAATTCGGGGAGCAGTAGGGTTCAGTGCCAATTGTGGCCAATGGGAGGGGGATTGGAGGGTGTACGTGGTGGCAACCTCCACATGCAGAGATAGATAAATGGAGAAGGGATGGACGGAAGGACGAACGAATTGACAAGCTGACTCTCTGATTCAGAGGATGCAATGATGGTCACTTCAGAGACCAGCAGCATAAGAAACTTAGGAAGTTGACTTGCACTGAATCAGGATAGGAACTGATGTTAGAGATCACCCATCATTAGAGATGAGCACGAACTGGAAAAGTGAACGAACCCAATTCGTTGGTTGTTGGGTTTTTTCCCGGTTCGAGGTTCGCTTCGTGCCCATGTCTACCCATAATTAGAGATGAAATTTCCCGTTCGTGGTGGAGAGAAAGTCACCACAGTTTCCCCTGCCAAAACAGACTTCGAAGGTATCCTGTGCTTTAAGTGCTGTAGACCAGTCCCCCAACCCCGACGCAGGCTGATGGGCATAACCTTGGAAGTGCGAGGAGCTTGCGTGGGGATCCCGGCTCTCCCTGGCATCTGTTTCTGATGCCAGTGGCTTTCCAGGTCTGGCTGTTATTCTTGCAGTCCAGGAGATTTCTGGCAGCCGTCTTTCCCGCACTTACCTGGAGACATAAGGAATTGAACCTGGCATGTTCTGCATCAAACCGGGTGTGCTCTCTGATTGAACCATGGTCCTCCCTTCCAGGAAGATGCCCTTCGGCTGATGTTCTTGCAGTGCAAGTTGTTTGTAAAGGACCAGAAGGCTTCCCATTATCCACCCCCCCAAGCCAGGTGAGTGTTCTCCCCACACCAGCTCACCTCTATCAGCACACCTTAGCCCAAAATCGTTCCGGCTAAAGGGAGCCGGAGTTCTCCATTTCATAAGCCCAAGGGGAAGCTAGCCAGCCCCCTTCTCTGTGCTTGGCTAGTAGCTACGAACTCTCCCTCCCTGGCCCTCTGGATTGGGTGGGGGCCGTCTGGCTGGGAGGTCCCTTCCCTGATGAGTCACCACCACAGTACCCATTGAGAGGGCCAGGGGTCTGGATCCTGCGGCCAGAGGCCAGGTCCTAAGTCACAATCCTGACCAAGTTGTGATAGGCTTAAGAAACTGAGCCCAGCTGGAAGTTGGCCACTTCAGAAGCGACGCTCTGTTTCCATCGTCAAACGGTCACTTCCTTTTGGGGGAGACGGTGAGTTCGGTGGCAGCCACAAAGTGTGAGACACAAAGGCATCTCGCCTCTGGTGTGGGAGCGGATCTGTTGTCATCTGGACAGAGCCACCGAGGGTGACCAAACCTCAGTGAATTTTTTTGTCCTCACAACAAGGTGTGTCACGCTGAGCAAGGGGTAGTGGGCCCAAGGTCACCCTGTGACTTTCACGATGCCATTTGGTCCCAATCCATTTGAGAGGTGGGCAGTTTTCAAGGGTTGGGAGGCAACCTTCACATTAAGAGAGGGATGCTGATGACACCACGCTTTAAGAAGGATGCTGACAAACAGAACCAGTTCAGAGGAGGGCGACAAGGATGAGGATCAGGGGGTTGGAAACCAAGCCCTAGGAGAAAAAAAACAGAGAGAACTGGGCATGTTTAGCCTCGAGGAAAGAAGATGAAGGGGAGATAGGTGAGAACTTTTCAAATATTTGAAAGGCTGTCCTACAGAGGAGAGGCAGGATCTGTTCTCGATCATCTCAGAGTGCAGGACATGTCACAATGGGCCCAAGATTACACGAAGCCAGATTTAGGCTGAATGTCAGAAAAAAATTCTTAACCGTTAGAGCAGTACGACAATAGAGCCAATGACCCTCAGGGGGATGAACCACACCATCTGTCCAGTGGTGCTTGGATTTGGATTCCTGCCTTGAGCACGGGCTTGGACCCGATGGCCTTGTAGGCCCCTCCCAACTCCTTGATTCTATGATCCCACGCCATCCGGCTTCTCACCAAATCTCATGCCTTCACAAAATTCAGCCGGGATGGTGAGCCTTCTCATCCCCTTGTGCTCAGCGGTGCCGCTGTCTGAATGCACCTCGAAATGAATGGGACAGAACCATCCTCAGGAAAGCTTGCGAGCGCTGCTAACTTGGAAAAGGCAACCAGCTCAGTGTCTTCACCCAGACATGCAGGTAAGTCCAAATAATTTTTGTGGCAAAGGCAGGAGGATTCAGGGAGGGAGAAGGTTATTCATAAAAGCAACCTTTTCAAAGTTAGAAGGTGTGGGAGGCACTGAAGACTTTGGAAGTTTTTGTTTGTTTGTTTGTTTTAGTCTCTTAGTTAATCAAAGGTGGCCGGGGAGGGATGGCCCGTATCCCTTGAACCCATTTCTACTGACATCTCTTAGACCTGTTTGCATGTCTAGCAACAAAAAAAACACACCTCCCAGCAATGAAAGAAGCAAAAGATGACCTCTTTAACCATGTTCTGAAGGCCAAACATTGCATGTCAGAGCATCAGTAGACCCACCAGATCCTCCCAGGCTTGGCTCCTCCGTGTAGCCACACCGAGGGAGGCCCGGAGGTCATTCACAAGAAGCAGGGCCTTCTTTGCAGTGGCCCTGACCTCACAGAACCAGCTTCTGGAGGAGTTACGCCTGTTGCCTCCCCCCCCCGCTATAAAGGAGGTCCCCAACCCTGGTTGACCATTCGCCTCCTGTCCTTCTAATTATTGGGGAAATGATCTTAGTCTTATGCTGTGAATTGTCTTAGTTTTTATTATTTGTTTGTTTTTATTAATATATATTTTAGCTTGCTGTAAATTGTCCAGAACAGTGCTTTGATATAATGGCGAAGTGTATAAATAAAATAAAATAAATGGCTCAAGAGCAACCAAGGCCAAAAATATGAGTCATGGGACAACCCATGTGGCCTTCTGCTATGTTTCTTCTAATTGTAGCAGTGGTCCATGAAAGCAGAGAACCCTCCTCAGATGCTCCCTGATGCAGAGAGATGAGGGCACCGGTCCATCATGTTCGATACCATCTACGCGGACCAAGGGTGGCCCAACCTTTCAGACTGAGAGTTTCTTTGCCCTGGAGATGATGAGGACTGGATACAGAATCCTTTGCAGGCAACACAGCTGCACTTAGAGGATGGGAAAATTATTTTCTTGGACTACAGCTCCCTAGGCCATGCCAGCTGGAGAATCGTGGGAGATGTAGTCCAAAAAGTTAACTTTCCCGGTTCCAAATTCTGGTTGTAGTACCACTGAACTAGACATCTCCTCAGTGTTTTGATTTGTGTGTGTGTGTGTGTGTGTGAAGTCTGGTTGTAGTACCACTGAACTAGACATTGATTTTGTGTGTGTGTGTGTGTGTGTGTGTGTGACCAATTTTCCCTGTCGTAGAGGTGGTGTTTGCTGAATGCCAAATACCAATCCAGGAAGATGGTTCTAGATTCTTCTACTATATACGTTCTAGATTCCCCAACCTCGGTGTCCAGTTTCAGTTCCTCGGATTCTGAGGCAGATGTGAAAGACGTTCTCGGCTTCATGCGCAAATTCCTCGGTGAAAACTGCCAGGTACCAAAATCTCTCGCTCATTCTCTGTGATCTCCCTTTAGAAGGTCAGATCTACCCTCCGCTCTCCAGTTGAGTTGCCAGAGCCCTCGCCAAGTCTCCTTGGGGGAAGAGGTGTCCTTCTCCAGGCTTGTGGGCTTGGGGAGAGAAATCTCAGGGACAAGTCGTGCCAGAGAAGGCAAAAGTTTTTTTCCCAAGGGCTGCCCCAGGTAGGTCAAGTTACAGTAGTCAAGGCGGCTTGCCCTTCTGTCACTCGTTCTTTCTGAACTGGGTGCCTCTCTTTCTTTTCTTTTTCTTCCTCGTAAACCTGGGGTTGGGATGGCATTAGGATATATCTGAGAAGCTGAAGTTCCTGGATTGTGTGGACATCATCAACACGACCTTCGACGGAGAGAAGAAAGAAGGATTTGGAGATCACCACGGCAACCAGTCTCTACTGAGAGACACCCTGAAGGTGACTGAGAGGACCGCCATGGCTTAGCGTGTTTGTGCAAACACAGCAGGACTATTTCTGAGAAGCGGCTCCTCGTGGAGCCCACCCAGCGGAGGATGCCAAAGATCGGACAGGGAACTGGGACCTCTGGCTGGACCCCAAATGCCGCCGATCCCTACATTTTGCCCCTCACGCCTAAAGTGTGAAAGGGGTAAAGGTAGTTCCCACCTCTTTGGCTCCGAGTTCGCACACATGTGTTCTCTCTCCCTCATCCCCCATCTCTCTCTCTCTGCCATTTAAGACAAGCCTTCTGTTGGAGAATATTAAAATTCCTCTAGCTGCACAGCACAGAATAGCTTCAAGTCCCCCAGTTTAGTCCACACCTTTTCCCCCCCTCTTGAACGGGCACTTACAGTCTCAACCATTCACTTTAGTTGGAGAAAACACAGGCTAACTAACTGAATGCTTTCAACAGGCTCCTGATTGCCAGCAGATAATGGAGAGGGGAAAAGGCTGTGAGCAGAGAGGCGGGGCTTCCTTTGAATTAGAGGCAGGGAAGGAAATGATTGGTCAGTGCTGTTAGTGATTGACAGCCACCCCAGGCCTGGAATGGTCCCTCACAGTCAAACATCCACTTCCTCAGACACACAGAGTCATTTTGTGCTACCAAGTCACTCCTAACTTACAGCAGCCCTTGAAATCATTGATTGCCTCAACAATGCTGCTGAGGTCTTGCAAAGGTGGTGGCTTCCTTTATTAAGTCAATCTATCCCACATTTGTGGACGCAGTGGACATCCCGATGGAGCGGGTGCCCCATTGCTGGAGGTTTCCAAGAAAAGATCGGACAGCCATCTGTCCGGGAAGGTAGGAGGTCCGGGATGGTGTGAGGTCTCCTGCCTTGGGCCCCAGGGGGTTGGACTAGAAGACCTCCAAGGTCCCTTCCAACCCTGTGACGATTCTATGATTATGATTCTAGGACAACAAGCTCCAGCAGAGAAGCCTGAGAAGATAAGTGGATTCCCTAAGTACTTTTAGAATATACGATTTCCCAAGAAAACTGATTTCCTGTGACTCTGATCTGCAGTTTATGGACAGGTCCCTCAGAGTGTGTTTGGTCTGGATCCTGCTGTAGCTCACCTGTCTTTCTTTCTCATTCCAGTTCCTTCTCTCTGAAACGGCTTCCCTAGAGACTCAAGAGCGGGAAGGGGCTCTAGCCAGGATCACCAAGCTCATCCACTGTATCACAAGCCACTGCATCACCAAGGTGAGTTACCCATCCCAAAAGAGGAAACGTCTGGAAAAGACCCTGATGTTGGGAAAGAGTGAAGGCAAGAGGAGAAGGGGACGACAGAGGATGAGATGGATGGACAGGGTCACCGAAGCAACCAACATGAATTTGACCCAACTCCGGGAGGCAGTGGAAGACAGGAGGGCCTGGTATACATATTGTTCAGATGCCTGCTTCTTGGGAGGAAAGTGATGCCAAACCTCGACAGCATCTTAAAAAGCAGAGACATCACCAACGAAAGAGGCCGAGATGGCTGGACAGGGTCATCGAAGCGACCAGCATGACTTTGACCCAACTCTGGGAGGCAGTGGAAGACAGGAGGGCCTGGCATGCTCAGGTCCATGGGGTCACAAAGAGTCGGACACAACAACTAAACAACAACAGCCGTCATCACAACTGACTGTGTGTATGTCTGGTTCCTGTACATGTGGTCTTGTACAGTAGGAACATTGCCTGGGAAACACAGCTTCTAACTAGGGTGGGCAGCCTTTTATTTAAAGCAAAACAAGCAAAGCATGCTGGTTACTCATGGCACATAAAGTGCTCTCTGGGTGGTTTACAATTTAATTATGCTGGTTACACATTCATCATCACAACTGACTGTGTGTATGTCTGGTTCCTGAACATGTGGTCTTGTACAGTAGGAACATTGCCTGGGAAACACAGCTTCTAACTAGGGTGGGCAGCCTTTTATTTAAAGCAAAACAAGCAAAGCATGCTGGTTACTCATGGCACATAAAGTGCTCTCTGGGTGGTTTACAATTTAATTATGCTGGTTACACATTTAAAGAACCCGAAGGCATCCCTCTGCTTTGTCCACATCTAGTTTGAAGAACCTCCTTCCTCCTACTTCTCAAATCTCTCAGCTAATTTTTGCCATCCGTCCCCCGCTCCCTTGAGCTGGAGAAGTGAGAGGATTTATAAGTACTGATGGTAGGGTATCCACGATTCAGGTCATGAGCAGAGTCTTGACTGCTGGACTGCACTTTAACCACTTGTCCAACGACCCAGGAGCTGTTTGCTGGCCCTTAAAAGACTCTAGACTGCTAACAGAGTTTAAAACTATAAACATTAAAACAAGTCTCCTCCCGGCAAAAAGAAGAAGAAAAGAAGCACAGTGTAAATTTAATTCATAAATTTCCCAGTAGCGAAGCACTAATACAGCCCAAATGTGTGTTACACCGACTGCACCCAGACTAGGGTCAACTAAAACACCATGTTTGTATATTTCACAAATAATTGCTTGGAAAGAATATGTGCAAGGATGGTTTCCTGTATTCTCTGCCTCTGTTTTAAAAAATCTGCATGCTTTTTGAGTAAATGTATTTGATTATAACTTCCATAACCCCCTACTAACATGGCCAAAGATGGGTGCTGTAGTCCAATATATAACTGGTTCCTTTTAAGGAGAAGAGCAGAGTCAAATATTTTAATAAACTGTATAGAAAGCAGCCAGTTGGGAAAGGTCAATTCTACAGCCTATTGTATCCTTCATTTTCTCTTTCCTTAAATCCATTTGTGTTTCTTTTTCTCCCTTTCCATTTGAAAGAAACTTGCAGAAAAATGTATTTTGATGAGTTAAGCAAACCTTACTCTCGCGCCCAGAGAGTGTGTTCTTGTACAAATGTGGATGTCTTCATTCGTGTCAATAAACCACCTTTGAAGAAAGCCAGCAGCGAATTGGAAGGGCAAATGGTTTCTTGCTTGCGCCAAGATCCTTGTGCAGGGGGGTGCCTACGTGCCTGAGCCAAACATAACGCAACGGGAACACGGATGCAATCAGAGCACATGGTCCCTTGAACAGATTTCTTGTCCTTTTAAATCGTCCTTGTCGTGCACGTTTAAGAGCTACAGGGAACCAGAACGAAGCTAATCTTCCTCTTTTTCCTGTGTCCTGTCCCTCTCCTTCCTTCCCCCCCTCCCACTCCATGCCAGGGAATGAAGGACTTCAAGACTGGCCAAGTGGCGGGCTACCTCACCCTTTGCTGTGGAGACCCGAGTGAGAAAGTGTGCCAATGGGCGGCTGAGGGACTCCACCACCTGTACACCTTGGTCCTGCACCAAAAGAGTGAGACGGATTCATGTCCTTTCCCCAAAATAGTAGAGGTTCATGGAGGCCCTGAAAAGACTGGAATTTCCAGAGGGGTAACCAGTCTCATTAGTCTGTCGCAGTGAAAGAAACCAAGGGTCCAGTGGCACCATAAAGATCTAGCATAACCAGATTTGACTATGAAGAAGATCTACTTAAGGGGCCGAAACCCTTCAGCTAAGCCCAACCTATTCCTTGTTGGTCTCATACTGTGTTGAAAAAACCTGCTGGGAAAGGTTGCATTGCCTAATTCTTTGGGGGGGGGGAACCAGATCCTAACCCAGAGATATCATCCATCTCAAATGCTCTAGCTGTCCATCTGTGTGCAAGTGTGGGTGTGTTATGTTGCGCTGTGTTGTGTACATCTTCCTACAACCCAAGGAGAATGCTAAACAGCCTTTATCCCTGTTTTCTGAGGGCTTAACAAGGCTGAGGACAACCAGGCGTATCTCGAACCTCTGCAGGAGTGGGAGGAAGAGAAGATATTCTGGCTGGCTTGGTTCTCCGACGTCAGCACCACCACCAGGGTAACTCTCTCTCAGTCGGGACGCTTGGGCCTGGTAGGAACCAAGGCTCATATTCTCTGTTTGCAACCCATTTGTACATGGCTGTTTTGGTCCAGATTTAGGGCTCTTCCATTGGGCTCAATTTGTTCTCCTAAACAGACTTGGTCTCTCCACTAAATTGATGGTTAATTCTCCCTCCATCCACACAACGTTCTGACTGTTTCGCAAAGCATTGCGATTTTTCCCACATCTTCCTGAGCTTTTTTGGTCACTGCAGAAAGTTGAGTGTAAGTTTTGCCTTGGTTTTTCCTGGGGGGGGGGCGTGTTCGGTGCCAGGGCGCTCTTCACTCAAGTTCATCTCTGTCACAAGGGCTTCCCAGCTGGGACTTTCAACAGACAGTCCAAAACTGGAAACATCACAGCTCCAGCAGGGAAGCGGATTGCTTCGATCTTTCTTAGCAATCTCTTAAAGAGGACTTCTATCTAAAAGAGGAGAGGTTTGTTCAGGCAGGAATCCCCGTAAACGGCAATCTCCTCTGTCTTTAAGCAGCAAAAAGCAAAGGAAGTTTTAAGAGGCTCAAGGGTCCATCTAGAAGAACCCTGAGTTACACTTAGGGTGTGCCAACACAGCAGGGAAAACCTCTTTGGTCTGGAGGCGGTCAAATCAAGTCCCTATTGGGTTTTGTGAGTGACATTACTGTAGCCTTTCAGACAATGCGTACAAACAATGATCATGTTGGAAGAATCAGAAAGTTCAGAAACAGAAAGTTATGACTGTGTTTGCCATTACTACCCTTCCCTCGTAACTATTCTGCTCAGTCCTAAGAGTCTTTCTAAGGGAGATGCTTTGCCTTTTTCAGAAAAGAACTCTGGCCAGTCTCCTGTTCAATAGTTACTCAGGCACCACAGAGGAAGCTACCTCTGATAGGACAAGGTGGCCACTGGCAATTTCCACCAGGATCACCCCTTGCCTTTGCCCCTCTGTTTCACCCCCCCCAAAGTGACTTAGCACTACACTGTTCTAGGGCTGACTTTAGAAAGCATTACCAAAAATGGTTGTTGTGGGTTTTTCTGGCTCTTTGGCCGTGTTCTGAAGGTCATTCTTCCTAACGTTTCGCCCGTCTCTGTGCCCGGCATCTTCAGGGGACAGCATTTTGAGCACCAGAGTACAGAGTGCTGTCCTCTGAAGATGCCCATGGCCACAGAGACTGGCGAAACGTTAAGAAGAACGACCTTCCGAACATGGCCAAAGAGCCCCAAAAAACCACAACAACCATTAGATCCCGGCTGTGAAAGCCTCCGCGAATACATTACCAAAAAACTACCCACCCTGTTTGGAGACAACAGGTGCTCGGTTGAGGGAAATGGGCACCCCTTTGCATTGGACCGGACGATTACACAGGGCAGAAAGTGGAGATGAGTGAAGAGAGCAAACCAGAGCAAAATTAAACTACCCCTGCCATCTGAAAAACAAGAGGCAACTCCCTACTGAGCAGTGATGGTCCCTTTTACATTATGGAGTCACCAGTTTTTAAGACTCCAGTGGAACCTCGACTTACAAACGTCCCTACGTGCGAATGATTTGAGTTACGAACAGCTCTGTTCACAAAAAAGTTGCTTCGACTTGCGAACAGAACCTTGACTTACGAACTAAAAAAAGGGGGGGAAAACATTTCCTCCCCCCCCTTTTTTTTTGGCCTAAGTTCATCTTAGCGCTTCGACTTGTGAATGGAACCTTGACTTACGAACTAAAAAAGGGGGGGGAAACATTTCCTCCCCCCCCCTTTTTTTTGGCCTAAGTTCATCTTAGGTCAAAAGAAGAAGAAAATTTCTCTCCCTAGTGGTAGAGTACATATTAACCGGCTTTGCATTAGTTCCTATGGGAACTAATGCCTCTGCCTACGAACAGCGCCTTGACATATGAAAGAAAAACAGCAGATAAGAATTAAATGGTTTTCAGTGCATTCCTATACAAACTTTTCGATGTCTGAATGCCATTCCAATACGGATTAAGTTTGTAAATCGAGGTACCACTGTATTTCACCCGTGCCAAATCTGGTGCACACTGTGGGACAGATGCCTAGTGTCGTCACCCTCTTAGAACAGAGTCTTCGAAATGGCAAGACGCAATTGATAAAACAGATGGAAGGGAGGAATATAATGGAGAGCCCTACAGTAGGGTTATGCCAGCCTGTCTGCCTGGAACCCTGAACCAGTTTGCTCAACCTTGTGACAGTTAGTGGCCCACAGGAAGTCTGCTGATGACATTAGAGTGGGATCCCTCTATTTTCGGGATCAATATCCACTAATTCACTTATCAACTGCCTGAAAATACTAAACAAAACCCCCCAGAAATATGTATTTCTGTGTTTCCAGCATGTATTTTCCAGAACTGGCCACTGGAGGGAGACAGAGACCATGTCATGTATAGTGTTCACTATTTCTGCATTTTTCATCCTCTGTACGGGGACTTGGAACCGATCCCTCATGAGATTGTACAGCCCAACTGTGCAATCATAAAAGCTGGCCTTTGATCTAGCAGCCGTTAACATGTTCCTGCCTAACCATTTTCATTTCAGGTATTCAAAAAATGCCTCCGTGTGGATGATCAGATGGATTTCATGCTGATTGCCATCAAGGCCATGAGAGAGGATGATATGCACAGCACAAAGGCTGCCTGCCTTATGCTGAAAGCCATGCTGAGGAACCCCACGCCCAGCTTTGTGAAGGTAAAAGTCTTGGAAGGTGCTTGGCTGAACCTACAAGTGAATTTTCTTTCCTTGTTCTTTTTACAAGCCCCACGGTGCAATTAGTCAATTCATCCAATCATTTTTGCCCAAGAACTGGTAACAAGTGTATATGGGGGTGACACGAAATCTCCCAAGGTTCATTGGCCACAGAGGACACACAGACATAGGTGTGAAGTTCCCTTGTGCTTCTCCCCACTCACAAAAGGCTGTGTCGGCGTGGAAATCCTGTTTTCTCAGGTTCACTTTGGTCTGGTGAACGCCACTCCATTAGGTGGTTTTTAAGCAGATGGTACTATGCCATTGCTCAGCTCTCTCGTTCTTGCTTCTATATCATCCTGTTCTGCAATACCATAGATGAAAGTTGGAGGTCAGGATTAATTATTATGGCACTTCCATATTGTCTATGAGATCTCTCAGCTGCAGATTTCACGTTGGGCATCACTGATGGCTGTCTCTAGGCATTTGTTGAATTCAAAGTGTATCACAATCACGTCCGGCAGAGCTGATGCCGTAGCTCTTCTTAGGTATTGGCAAGTCCTCTCTCTTAAGAGAGATTATAGTTAGATTTGGCCCTGACAGGGAGACTTTGTGTTTATATGCTTCGGAAAGGCTCCTTCTGTATCTCCTGTCGAACAGAAGAAAGTATGAAAAACCCTGCCTGGTCTTTTTCTACCACGTTGTTGTTTTTACAGTGTTTAACCAGACAAGTTAGGGAAGATTAATGAAAATCACAGTTTCAACTTGATCAGAAGCAAAGCTCTTTTGAGAGAAGAATTTCATTCATTTACCCTGAAATGAAGCTTCTCTGCTCCACAAACTGCAGATTGTGTTGCTTTCAATTCCTGATTGGTCATTGGGAGATCATCAGGGGCTTCATTTGCAAGTGGGTTTTGCAGGCCAGCCTGGGGGTTTTGAAGGACTGTGTCTCCAGAATGAAAACGTTTTACCGCTTTCTGATTCTGAAGCAAGTGTCTCACCTATTTTTATCCTAGGAAGACTTCACTGGTTTGCATTTTATTAATCATAAAGGATAACTGTACAGTAATCAACTTGGTTAGTGCACGAGGAGGGAACAATATATGTAAAGAAGACACTGCAAAACCCTTACCACACTACAGCTGCATGAATACTTGTCAGAAAAGCTATGCTACTCGTGTGGAACTTGCACATCTTTCTCACGCTCACCTTGCCCCCTCAGTGAACGACTGCTTCTTCTTCCCACCAGGTGTCAAAAGCTGTCAAGTTCATGTATTACAGCTTGGAGCACATCAGCTGCCCCCCAGCCCGACAGATTGTCTTCCATTTTCTCCATTTGCTGGGGAGTGGCCACCCTCAAGAGGTGGTGGAGGCCTTACTCCGATGTTCCCTGCAATGTGACAGGTAGGGGAGGCCTTGGAAAGAGAGGACAGCCGTGAGTACAGCAAGCGAGCGGTGGTGGATTGGTGGGTTTTTGTTATTTTTATATGCTATTGTTGTATGCTAATGTTTTTATGTTTTTAAAAATTGTTTTTGATATTCTGTAAGCCGCCCAAAGTGGTAGAATATACCAGATGGTCGGGATATACAGTAAATCGAACAAACAAACAAACAAACAAAAAACGAACGAATGAACGAACGAACGAATGAATGCATAAATAATTTTTTTAAAAAAAAGGTGTTTTGTTGCCTTGAAATCTCAACTCTTCATAGAATCATCGTAGGGTTAGAAGGGACATTGGAGGTCTTCTAGTCTGACCCCCTGGAGCCCAAGACAGAAGACCTCCGACCATCCCGGACTTCATAACCATCCCGGGCAGATGGCTGTCCAATCGTTTCTTCAAAACCTCCAGCGATGGGACACCCACCCCATCAGGAGGCACGGCTTAATGGTTCTCACCGTCAAGAAAATCCTTCTTCTTTCCACATCGGATCTCCCTCTGACGAGTTTCCACTTAATTTCCTGCAAAAATGTTATCCCCCTAACAACCCTGCAGGGTTGGTTAGACGGAAAGCACGTGCCTGGCACAAGGTCACCCAGTGAGTTTCACAGCCCATTGGGGAAGCCCGGAAGACCCTCATGGGTTAAGGCGATCTTTATAGGTTCCCAAGTGGCCATGTCTTGCCCAAGTCCTGAGAGCTAGACCTTTGGCTAGCCGTTTCTGAACTGACCGACACACGCACCAAGCAGGGAGGATTCCAGGCTCGATCACCCTTCCTGCTTCTCTCCTCTGCCTCTCTCTGTGTAGCTCTGCCTCCAGCATGTGGCACGTCTTGACCTCCTTTACCAGCCCGGCACAGAAGGTCCTGGATGTTCTGCAAGCCACCCTGCAGGAGCGACCCCTCCACCCTGCCAGCCCTGGGTTCAAGCCAAACATGGATCCTTTAGCTGTAAGTACTGATGAGAGTCTTAGCCAGATAGATCAGCAAAGCAAGGCCCTTTCCTTCACTACATGTCAGACGGGAGGAAGGCGTAGACCCTTGGGTTTCTAAGACCTGTGCACATGGAAGGGTTCACCTTGACTCCGATGCCACACTCTGTGAGAGGCTCACAGGAATTGTAAGGTCGGAAGGTCCCTTCCATTTCTGCGGTTCTAAGATGATGACGTGTTTATGTCCCGAAGACACATTGCAAAACAAAGCAGGTCGTGTTTAAAGTACACGAGATAAGAAAATCTGCTGTGAGAACCAGATGCTTTCAGCAGCTAAGGAATTCCCTTGGCCAATGATGTGTTGTCTATAATGTCAAGTTTTTGTCTCTCAGAGGTGTTTCCTTCCAGGCTACTGCAGCTCTTTATGAGATTTTGAGAAATCCATCTCCTGCCTGCAAAGATGTCCTGAAAGCAATGTATCCCACACTGTCCATTGCTCTTCTGTGCCATATCTCCTACACGGTGAACTTCACGCCCCAGGAGATTGACCATTTTTGGAGGTCCTGCATCCAGCAAAAACTTCCCACTCCTCTGTCTCCATTCAGGTACCAGGGTTCCTTTGCTTTCTCTCAACCTCCTTGTCTCTCTCTCCCCGTGGGGTCGTCCCAGGAATCTGGTGTAAAAATTGAGACTCGCAGGAAAAGAACAACGTCTTTGCTCTTCAGGTGTGGAATTTGCTACTCTGTGATGGGGTGATCACCAGCAACCTGGATAACCTTCAAGGAGGATCAGAGAAATTCAGGGAGGATAAGACTACCCATGGCTTTTAGCCAGGATGGTGATACTTCACCCCAGTATCAGAGGCAGGATCCTAGAATCCTAGGATCCGAGACTCGTGGAGTTGGAAGGGGGCCTCTAAAGGCCATCGAGTCCGACCCTCTGATCAAGGCAGGGATCCAAGTCAAAGCAGATCAGACGGAGGGTGGTCCCATCTTCTCTGGAAGGCCTCCATGCGTTGGAGCGCTCCCCACCTCCCCTTGAGGTCATGGGTTCCGTTGTCGTACCACTCTAACAGTTAAGAAGTTTTTCCTGATCAGCTGACATCTAGAGATTATTACACGTCTTGCACTCTAAGATGATCGAGGACAGATCCTTAACAGTTAAGAAGTTTCTCCTGATCAGCTGAGATCTAGAGATTATTACACGTCCTGCACTCTAAGATGATCGAGGACAGATCCTGCCCCTCCTCTTTATGACTCAAACCTTTGAAAAGTGCTCTCCTCTCGCCCCTCCGTCTTCTTTTCGGAAGGATAAACAGGCCCAATTCTCTCACTCTTTCCTTCTAGGGTTTGGCTTCCAGGCCCGTCATCATCATCATCCTGGTTGCCCTCCTCTGAACTTTGGCTTCCAGGCCCGTCATCATCATCCTGGTTGCCCACCTCTGAACTTGCTCCAGTGACTCTGTAGATATCACAGGCTGGGTGCAGCCACACGCATTTTGCTTTAGTGGGCTTCCTGAGAGTAGGTGTGAACGGGGTGCTAGACAACCAAGTCCTGGGTCCTCATCCAGCAGGGAGTCTTCTTGACGGCTTACTTTCTGAACATTTTCTCCTCTACGTCTGGGAATGCCTTAAGAGAGAATCGTTAGGAAGATACCTGCTGCCCTACCGGGAATTGGTTGGGTGGCTGTAAAATCTTTATACACTGAGAAGTCCAGTCTGCCCTCCCAAGAAGTGTTTGTGGGTCTGCCGTTACAGACACAGTCTCGAACACACACAAAAAGGAGTTGATGCAGAATGGTGGGTGCCTGAATTTTTGAAAAACAATAGGTTCCTTGTTCTAACGATTCAGGAAACAGCTGTACAGCAGTGTATAGCTAAGGGAGCAGTTAAAATATAGTTCTCCATAGATTACCATACTGCAGTTCCTTCTTTGTTGGATATAACATCTTGGAACCCCAGGCTAATTGACAAGGCCAAATCACATATGAAGGGAAATGCACATTTTGTGCTATTATTAGGGTTTCCTCCCGGACACGCCATTCCTTCAAAGCTCCATGGCTGGATGAACTTCCAAATAAACTTACAAATTGGTCGTTACGAATGACCGATTTCAAAGCAAAGCCCAAATAACCTGAGGCAGTGAGGCAGCCTCCTGGTAGGCTAAACAGATGAGATCTTTTAACTCTGAAACCTTGAAAGATGTGATTCTAATAAGGGGATAACTGTGTCGTCTAGTTTGGCCCACCAATGGTGAGGATTTGCGTGAGACAGCTAATAGTCACGAGCCAGGAATTTGGGTATGTATGAAGTCAGTCCTTCGTGCCAGATCATGGACTCCTTCCATATGGCCTCTGCTCAGCAGCTATGGCCCAGAAGGAATGCGATGAAGTTACTTTTCTGGACTTCCTCTCCTGGCAGAAATCTACAGCCAGAAATAACCCCCCCAAGTCCCCACCCGGAAGGGAATAAAATATGCAGGGCCATCATTTCTCAGAGGGGTTTTGTCTCTGCCCACAGGTCTGCCTTGAGGACCTTCAGGGCTCTGGTCAGGCGCGCCAGTGACGGGGATCAGTCCCTCATCATGAATAAGAGGAGAGGCTCTGAGCTCCTGTGCCATCATGCAACTCACCAGAAAGGACTCACTCTCTTTGCCAGGTGAGTGGGTGGCTCTTGGAAAAGATTCGGTTCAAGGAGAGGCACCACAGAAAAACAGGGCTGAGAGGACCACAGGGTGGAGACATTGACAGGTTCTGGACTGCAACTCCCAGAATCCCCGAATCAGTGGCTGTATGATTCGAGAATCATAGAATATGCACTTATTTATTTAAATTTATACCCCATCCATTTAGTGAGCCTGCTGCTTACTCTGGGCAGCTTGCAAAATACTTTAAAACATACAAGTGAAAATATTATAACCATATAAGACAGATAAAACATATTAAAAGAAAAAGAATACAGTGCTGCCTTGCTTGACGAGGATAATCCGTTCCAGCAAAATCACTGTAGAACGAAATCCTCATTAAGCGAAATAAAAAAGCCCGTTGAAACGCATTCAACCCCCTTCAGTGCGTTCCAATGGGCTGAAAATTCACCGTCCAGCGAAGATCCTCCATAGGGGCGGCCATTTTCGCTGCCTGTAAAGCGAGGAATCAGTCCTAGAAAACAACGGGGGGCCATTTTGTACACCCGGTGGCCATTTCGAAACTCGACGATCAGCTATTTTTAGATCATCGTAATGAGAAGATTGGTTCCCGAAGCAAAAAAAAGCCCATTTAAAATATCATTTTGCGATCGCTTTTGCACTATCTCCTCTCAGTCGTTCTGTTAATTCTAGGTAGAATCACGCGTGCACGGGAAGCTAAGAAATATCACTAGTGCAAGTGGAAGCAGAAATGTATCCATGCAGCGGAAAACTAAGTGGGAGAGCCAAGACAACAGACAACAGCTAGAAAAATATTATGATTATAATACAATAGGACTCCCATATGTGCTGGAGATTGGTTACAAGTCCTCCATGAATAGTGAAAACGAAGAATAATAGCAAATGCTCTATAGATTAGATTAGGCATCCTCCAGTCTCGAGAGACTACGGTAACTTGCTCTGTATGGAGGACTTGGAAGAGCGTCTAGTGTGGCTGAGAAGGCCAATGGTAAAAGGGTTAAAAAACAGGAAAAAAATTCACATACATTACCAGAACTGGCCACTAGAGAGAGCTGGAGGCCGTGCTATGTATTCACTAAACTAAGTATTCATAGCACAGTCTCTTGTTCCCTGCCATGCTATGTATTCACTAAAGTATTCATAGCACAGTCTCTTGTTCCCTCTAGTGGGGAGTTCTGGTAATACACGGCAAAATATTTTTTGTGGATTTTTCTCTTTTAATATTTTTAATATTTTCAGACTGCGGACAAGTGAATCATTGGATACTGATCCCACAGATAAGGGGGTCCTACTGTAATCTTAAAATTGCAGAGGTAGAAGGGAGACCCTATGGGTCATCAAGTCCAGCCCCTATCAATGAGGCCCAGTCGGGAATTGAACTCCCAGCAGGAGTCCAACATTTTGGGTTTTTACCTTGTTTGTCACAGAGCGCTGCTTCGGAACGAAGGGTGTGAACAGATCTTGCCCTACCTGATAGCCACTTTGGACGCCAAAGAGGACATGATCCATCTCATTACAATGATCTTTATTGTTGAGGTGAGCCTGAAATGAAAAAAGAGGAGAGGGAAGTCCAAATAGGGTCACGTAAGGTCACTTAGAGATGAGGTGTGCCACTGAGTGGGATCCTTGCATCAAAATGGCAGACGCCCCTCAAGTGACCCCATTTGGACTGCCTCCCTTGAAAGGGAAAGGAAAAAAATAAAATGCCCCTCACTGTCCTCTCCTATCTCTTTCCTCTGGGAGGAAGCTTTTTCTAAAAACAAAACATTCCAAAAGGTACAGCACATCAGCAATACCCTAATTGATGTTTTTTAAACCAACAAGTTGCTTTCCCCCCCTTCTGCTCCATGGAGGAGAAAGGAATATTTTCATATCCCAATATCTTTAAGTGGCTGAGCTGTCTACTTAAGCTGCTTAATGATATTGGGAAACTGAAAACAGCAAACTGTCTGGTTTGGTCTGATCCCAGTGATTGCAAGTGCTGGAACCGAACCAAAATGGATCGATCCAACCTTCACCTTAAATATGTAGCCCCCGACAAGGAGCCCAAAGGGGAACTGAACCAGTTTGTTCCCCTGAGCAAACCTTGTAGGCACATGGACTCATGGCAGGAGAAAATCTTGGTGGACTGTCTTATTCGTCAGGTGACAACTTCGGCACCTTCTTATGCGAGGAAGTATCTTACTGCGTGTCATGAAGGCGCAGGCTGAAGATTATTTTTAGCACCCTTCGCTTCCGAGGCACGATGTTCCAGGAACCAAAGAGGCCTTGAAGAATGTGACGGTTCTGCTTTTTGCTCTCCTTTCTTAGATCCTGGATAGGGACATGCTGGATGAATGCACAGAAGATCTTATTATCCAGCATCTCTGCACCCAGCTGAAGTCAAGCAGGACCCAGTTCCGAACCCTTTCTCTCAACGGCATGCTCCGTCTGACCCCTTATCCAAAGAAGGTGAGGGTGCGAACGGACTCTGGGGCAAATTTGCAACTGAAAATGGGAAGAGGTCAATAGCTCCAGAGGGTTTGGCCAGTTGAGACGCTCATTCCGTGTCTAGAGGCAGTGCTCCCTTAAGAGGAAAATCCCATCTGTTTCTTCTCACAGGAACTCACCTCCGCCTGTAGTCGGCAAATGAGCAATGCTCATGCAAGATCTCCCACCACCCAAAGTAGAAAGAAAAATGTGGCTTTCTGGGAGAGGGAGAGAAGCAGGAGGGGTGGCTGAAGCACCTTTCTCTCCACAGCCGGCCATGAAAAAATGTTTTGGCCCCAAGAATCCTCAGGACCAAGGCTTTATTCAAATGGCTGGCCAAGGAGCACGCCGGCAGATGGCACCGGTGGGAAGAAAGAGGCCAGCTAAGGGAGCAGCTGGCTCAGGCTGCAGAGAGAGTGGGGAAGGCGGTGATGGCAGACGTCTTCCTGGAGGGATAACATTGTCAGAGGCAGAAGCAACAATCAGCATGTGATTTTTGCTTGTTTCGCTGACTTCCAAGCCGAAACCTTGGGGTTCTGGAAAGGGAGTCAGAAACTTATTAAGGAGTTTAGGCGGGGTTTTGCAGAAGCCCCTCCCCCGGCAGAAACTGATGATGTGGCTAACGCGCTATCGGATAATGATGGACGTCAATGAAAGATAAGCACAGATAAGATGTCAGTGAAGGAGAAGCACATCTGGAAGGGTGATTCCTGGGTTCTAAAGGTGGGTAGAATCCCAGTCACGCACTCTCTCAGCCCACACTGCAGGGTCGTCATGAAGATAAAGGAGGAGGAGGAGAAACATATGCTCCCTTGAACTCAGAGCAGGAAAGGGAGGATATAAATATAGTCAACTATCTAATGGCTAAACATAATCAGGAGAAAAACAATCTCCACTGTTACCTGTCTTCTCTACATAGTCTGGAAATGAATTACTAGTAATTACTGGTAATGTAACTACAAGTAGTGAGTTACTTTTACAGGGACCAATGGGAGCATAATGATGATACACTGGAAAAGTGAGATAATGAGCGGGATCAACATGATGTTACTGGTATAGCAAATACTTTTTAGTTTCTTTTAAAAGTTACTTTTGAAGGTTTTTTGGGGGCGTTGATGGAAATATTGTACTATGGTCTTATCAATTCTAAATTTCTCTTAAGCAGCAAGTGCAGATTACATTTTTTTAAGGCTATAAGCCACCTAGAGTGGTCACAGTGACCAGATAGGCGGGGTATAAATAAACAAACAAACAAACAAACAAATAAATAAATGTCGTCCGACGACTTGTAAAGCCTATAACCAGTAACCGGGATGTTTCTTAAAAAAAGTCACTTCCAAAGCTCCCGTTTTGGTTTCCCTGGAATACAGGGTACTTCTGATTCCGCCTTTCGGTCGGGCAGGTGGCGAAGCTGAAGCCGGCCGTGCTGGACCTTCTGGCCAGGCTGAAGGAGGCCAACCGAGAGATCAATGTGAAAGCTCTCAAAGTCCTGGAGCCTCTCTTGAAAACTCTGGACAGCAAGGAGCTGAAGCTCTACTCCGTGGAAGTGGCGACGCGGGTGATCCCCCTTTTTGATGACGTGAGTCAATAGTCTGGAGCCGGTAGAGAGACAGCTGTATATACAGAAAGGGGAGTTATGGGTGGAAGAGAAGAGCGAAGGTGGGAAGGGCGTGCCAGGATGGGTGTGTTTTCCCTGCTATAATCCTCCTTTTTCTTCCATGTGTCCAACCGCGCCCCCACAACCACGGAATGGCAGGACTGGCCACCCCTGGCGAGTGTAGGAATCTGCCTTCACCGTTGACTGGGCACTTCTTCTTCTTGGCAGGAGGATTTGGGGGGAAGGATAGCACAAAAAATGTAACTTCTCCCAGCTCTGTTTCAGACCCTGTTGGCCAAAGTAACTCTGGACCAAATTGCCTTTCCCCCCTTTGAGGGGTTTCTGAGTTGTTCCAGATTTCACAGAACGCTTCCTTCCCCTATTGGCTTTCTCCAGTTGGCACTCTTCGGCCACTGGGCCCAGCCTGGCCCTTGGCCCACTTCCCTCCTGCTTCTTGGCACAGGCGTCCAACAAAGTGAGGCTGGCTGCTGTCGCCACCTTCGTCGGCCTCCTGGACGTCACCAGAAGGGGGAGCAGAGATCTGATGAAACAGTTCACCATGCAAAGTCTGGTGCCCCTCATGTTACATCTTCAGGATGAGAGCGTCCCGGTGGCCCAGGTAGGTCAGGCCTTTCCCCATCGGGGGCTCTCCGGCTGTGCCAGGCCCCAACTTCCAGCATCCTTCGGCTAGCGCGTGCTTTTGACTTCCCTGGAAGTCCCTCCTGCCAAGTTCCTTTTCAGGTCCAACCGTATTTAGTCCCCCCCCCCATCGCAAATCAGATCTGTTCATTGTGTTCAGAGTGACATCTCACTGGATGGGAGAGATCCGATGATCCTCTTCGATAGAGTTGTTCCATGACAGATCACCACACTGTAGTGTCCAGTTTTGGTAAATATATTATGAAAATATATGTTTCTAGTATTTTTCCTTTTAATACCGTAGGGACCCTCCATATCTGCTGGGGATTTGTTCCATGCTCCCCAGTGGATACGTAAAACCGTGGATAATAGCAAATGCTATTCACAGGAATGATAAATGGGGGAAAAATAAGAACAATTATTTTCACATGCATTACCAGGACTGGCCCATAGAGGGGGCCAGATATCACACTATGTATTCTTCACCAAAAAGTAATCATAGAATGGTCTCTGGCTCCATCTGGTGACTTGTTATGGTAATACATATGGGAAAAATTCTGGATCTTTTTCTTTTATATTTTTAATATTTTCAGACCGTGGATAATGGAAGCTGTGGATACTGGCCCCATGGATACGGGGAGCCTACAAAATTTTTCAGACTGCAAATTAGTGCAACTGCAGATACTGATTCCATGGATACAGAGGTCCTGTTAAACTAAGGCCAGCAGGTTATTGGGAACAAACATGCTCAGATGGGAAATAAATGGCCACCGTTTTGTTGGCTACACCCGAATGGGCGTTCTACCCCCCCCTCGGCACGCATAGGGTATTTGCTGACCCGCCTGGCAGGCAATGAAGCACCATAGCCTGGCGTCTGGGTAAGGAACAAGCCCGAAGAGAGGGACTCTGAGGGTTGTCCCCCCCCCCACACACACACACTTCCAGCCAGCTCAGCCGTCTGATGAGCTACCTTCAAGCATGCTCAGGAGCCATAGGAGCAGAGAGGGTAGCCGCCACTGCCCTGTAGCCAGTCTTGATTCTCCCACCTGCCAAGTCGCCCCTGGACTACTGCCTAGGAATCTGGGACCCTCCGTGCCTGACGTGTACAAACTGCATGGTGGAGATGATTTCTCTCCCCCCCCCCGCTTCCCCCTATTCATGGTAGGCCTGCTGGACTGCTCTCCGGAAAGCTGACCAGTTTCTGAAATCCTTCATCCAGCTGTCCATCCACGTGAATGACCCCTGGAACCTTTGCACCAGCCTGGTGAGTAGTTCCTGCTGAAATCCAGGAATGGGGCATGGCAGGCGTCTCTTCCTGGACCTCTGGGGAAGGGTGGGGTGGGAGGGTGTAACCCAGGTGAGGCTCCGGGCTTCGTTGGCTCAGAAGGCAGAGGACCTGCTTCTCACATGCGCACACATCCCTCTCTCTCTCTTCTTGTGGGTCATGCTTTGTAGGTGACGCGCTACCGAGAGCAAGGGGAAGGGATCCTCCTGGAACAGGCGTTCGGTTACCTGGAAAACCCCAGACGATCTTTGAGGGACGGAGCCATCAGGCTCTTAGGCAAGCTTTTCCACATATATATATTGTTTGGGCTGTGGTTATCATGGCAATAGAAGTAATGAGACGGCGGCTTCTCGGGGTAAAAAGACCCCAACATTGTTGACCGTTCCTTCCCTGCCCGCTGGGAATAAAAGGACTTTTCCAGGGGGCACGAAGGTCCTGCCCCAGTTAGGTTTGTGCCTGATCAGGCTTCGTTGTGAACAAGACCAAAACATACCAGGAGTCATGTCTTAATGGCTCTGGAAAGCCATGAGTTTTGTTATTTTTTATTCCAGTAGAATTACATAAAGGTAAAGGCTCCCCTTGACATTTAGTCCAGTCGTATTCGACTCTAGGGCGTGGTGCTCATCCCCATTTCCAAGCCATAGAGCCAGCGTCTTATCTATAGACTGTTTCCGTAGTCACGTGGCCAGCGCGCCTAGACATGGAACCCGTGACCTTCAGACCAAGGTGGTCCCTATTTATCTACCCGCACTTTTACATGCTTTCAAATGGCTAGGTTGGCAGGAGCTGGGACAAGCGACGGGCGCACACTCCGTTGTGTGGATTCGATCTTATGACGGCTGGTCTTCTGACATTGCAGCACAGAGGCTTTCTGCGGTTTAACCCGCAGGACCACCACATCCCAGCAGAATTATATAAGTAGATGTAAAAGTACCCTAGCACTCGCTGGAATTTTACCTTTCCTCTACCCATGTCCCCTCTCCTAGCCTCCCAGCCCTCTATCCACAAATCCCTTATTGAAAATGAATACAAAAATGAAATAATAATAATAAAGAAAGCCATGTCTTTGACAACCACTTCACAGTAAAAATTCCTTGCATAAAAATGTTGGCTGTCCGTTTTCCTGCTGGGACTGCAGTTTGAGGCTGCTGTTTTAAACTTCATTTACCTATTTTACACTTGTTAGCTAATTAAAAGGGTTCCCTCCTGGAGAATGTGAAACTGAAAACACCACAGGGCTAAACACTGTCCCTCAAACCAAAACCCCAGAACAAACAAAGAAACAAATGAACAAACAAAGAAACAAATTTAAAAGTGCCTTCAGCAGAAAAAGAAAAGTTTTAACCTTCAATTCCCAGAATTTCCCAGGCAGCCCTGGCAGCGGTGGGCCAAAATCACAAACCAGCACACCTCTATTTTATTTCCAAACTGTACAATAGTTCTCCCTCTTTGGAACAGAGGAGGTGGTACGAGGTGCAGTTATTTTCGTTGCTTCGCTCATTCCACTGTCCTTCCTTCGAGCGTTGGTACAGCCTGTGCCGAAGGACGTCAACGCTTGCCCAGGGTCTCGGAGGGAATGCTTTGCCAACCCTGCCTGCAATGCCAAGGGTTTGGTGACCCCCAACTGAATAGCTTTTTCTGTCCATAACAAACCTTACACTCCTTTTCTACCCCTAGAAATCATAGCTCAAGCGAGCAAGCACAAGGACACCGTCACTGCTATCACAACAGGTGAGTGGCATTGATATTTTTTCCAGCTTTTCCCTCCTGGTTGTGATGTGTGGACTAGCCAGTGGGACCATTTCCTGTCCTTCTCGGTGGATATTTCCATCCCTCATACACAACCCTTGGGAAATTGACTTTTTACTACAACTCCCAGAATCCCCCTGTCAGCATGGACAGTGCGGTCACGGGCTGGAGGACTCTGGAGGCGGCAGTCTGGTGCAGAATGAATCTCACCACCCTCCGAGGCTATTGGGCTTCTTTCTCGCTTGCTCGTTTCAGTCCTGAACCTGGTGCAGCTAGATGCTAAGCCCTCCGACATCTACTTGGTGGCCTCTGAAATCATTGAGACCATCGAACGTGACTCTTCGGGAAACTTCGTAGGGAGATGTTTCGACAGAATCAGGACCATGTGCAGGAGATGAGATGCCTCCTTGGTGGAGGGCACAGAGGTAAACACTGGGGGAGGAGAAGCCCAATGGTCTTGCCTTCCCTTCCCTTCTCCCCCAACCAATTTAGGCGAAAAGGAATGGAGTTACTCAGGACCGGCCGCCATCTTGTTTGAGCAAGCAAAATGGTGATGACGGGCGGCACTGGCCGGGGACCAGCAGACAATGCAATTGTGACAGGTTGCCTCAAGGACACAATTGGTTTCTATTTATGGGGAAGATCCGTTGGACCAGATGTGGCCACCTCTTGATGGTTTGTTTTGATTTCGTCTTTCCCAGGACAGATGCTGCTGTTCCTCTTCAGCGGGTTGGACACCTGGCCTGAGTCACCGGATCCAGACACCTGCCCCTCTGCCTGCGGTTGGACCTCTTCATTCCTGGATCCTTCTCAGTTCCTGCCCCTCATCCTTGTAGAACTCTGGTTAGGAAAGAGGGAGTCCATTGCCCCACGGATGAGCTGGTCCAGGGAGAGGTGGGTCCTTGTCCCCACCAGGAACCCTCTCCTTGCTATGACATTGGTCCTGATGGAGGCTCTCGAAAAACCATAGCTTCATTTTCAGAATCTGGTCATTAAGGAGGTTTCGTCCTTAACATCACTTTTAATTTTTATTATTATGAATGCAGTGTTTGTAGTATTTATATTTCACCTTTGTTTACCAAGGCTCGTTCACAACAGCGTACGGAATAGAAGAAATGATGGAATAAAACTGAAACAAAATTAAATCACTGCTTTTTTTGCTCTTCTATCCACATAAATCCCAAATCATGATTTATTTATTTTTGCTCCCGCAG